ATCTTGCTCCTGGGGGATTTCAACTTAAGGCACCTAAAATGGAGGAATATAGCAAATAATATTGTTGCAGTAATAACACCAGGAGGCACCTCTGATGAAAACTCACACTCACGCGAGCTTTTAAATCTCTGCACAAAATTCAATTTAAACCAGCAAATAATAGAGCCTACTAGACTGGAGAATACACTAGACCTCATCTTCACTAACAATGATGATCTGATAAGAAATATCACCATATCAAAAACAATATACTCAGATCACAACATAATTGAGGTTCAGTCATGTATGCGTGGAGTCCCAGACCGACATAATGAGATTAGTCACGAGGGAGCATTCACCAAATTCAACTTCAATAACAAAAACATAAAGTGGGACCAAGTAAACCAAGTCCTAACCGATATAAGCTGGGAAGATATACTAAGCAACACAGACCCCAACTTATGCCTAGAACAGATTAACTCGGTAGCACTCGATGTATGCACAAGGCTTATTCCTCTAAGAAAAAGGAGGAGTAGATGTAAAACAGAAAGAGACAGGCGCTCCCTTTACAGGCGACGGAAAAGAATAACAGAGCGGCTAAAAGAGGTCAATATATCTGAAATGCGTAGGGAGACACTGGTCAGAGAAATAGCAAGCATCGAACTTAAGCTAAAAGAATCCTTTAGGAGTCAGGAATCGCGGGAAGAACTAAAAGCCATAAATGAAATCGAAAGAAACCCAAAGTATTTCTTCTCCTATGCCAAATCAAAATCGAGAACAACGTCCAGTATTGGGCCCCTACTTAAACAAGATGGGTCCTACACAGATGACAACAAGGAAATGAGTGAGCTACTCAAGTCCCAATATGACTCAGTTTTTAGCAAGCCGCTAACCAGACTGAGAGTCGAAGATCAAAATGAATTTTTTATGAGAGAGCCACAAAATTTGATTAACACAAGCCTATCCGATGTTATCCTGACGCCAAATGACTTCGAACAGGCGATAAATGACATGCCCATGCACTCTGCCCCAGGGCCAGACTCATGGAACTCTGTGTTCATCAAGAACTGCAAGAAGCCCCTATCACGAGCCTTTTCCATCCTATGGAGAGGGAGCATGGACACGGGGGTCGTCCCACAGTTACTAAAAACAACAGACATAGCCCACTCCACAAAGGGGGCAGTAAAGCAACAGCAAAGAACTACAGACCAATAGCACTAACATCCCATATCATAAAAAATCTTTGAAAGGGTCCTAAGAAGCAAGATCACCACGCATCTAGAAACCCATCAGTTACACAACCCAGGGCAACATGGGTTTAGAACAGGTCGCTCCTGTCTGTCTCAACTATTGGACCACTACGACAAGGTCCTAAATGCACTAGAAGACAAAAAGAATGCAGATGTAATATATACAGACTTTGCAAAAGCCTTCGACAAGTGTGACCATGGCGTAATAGCGCACAAAATGCGTGCTAAAGGAATAACAGGAAAAGTCGGTCGATGGATCTATAATTTCCTCACTAACAGAACACAGAGAGTAGTCATCAACAGAGTAAAGTCCGAGGCAGCTACGGTGAAAAGCTCTGTTCCACAAGGCACAGTACTCGCTCCTATCTTGTTCCTCATCTTATATCCGACATAGACAAGGATGTCAGCCACAGCACCGTGTCTTCCTTTGCAGATGACACCCGAATCTGCATGACAGTGTCTTCCATTGCAGACACTGCAAAGCTCCAGGCAGACATCAACCAAATCTTTCAGTGGGCTGCAGAAAACAATATGAAGTTCACGATGAGAAATTTCAATTACTCAGATATGGTAAACATGAGGAAATTAAATCTTCATCAGGTACAAACAAATTCTGGCACAAAATAGAGCGAAACACCAACGTCAAAGACCTGGGAGTGATTCATGTCGGAGGATCTCACCTTCAAGGACCATAACATTGTATCAATCGCATCTGCTAGAAAAATGACAGGATGGATAATGAGAACCTTCAAAACTAGGGAGGCCAAGCCCATGATGACACTCTTCAGGTCACTTGTTCTATCTAGGCTGGAATATTGCTGCACACTAACAGCACCTTTCAAGGCAGGTGAAATTGCCGACCTAGAAAATGTACAGAGAACTTTCACGGCGCGCATAACGGAGATAAAACACCTCAATTATGGAGCGCTTGAGGTTTCTAAACCTGTATTCCCTGGAACGCAGGAGGGAGAGTACATGATTATATACACCTGGAAAATCCTAGAGGGACTGTACGAACTTGCACACGAAAATCACCCACTACGAAAGCAAAAGACTTGGCAGACGATGCACCATCCCCAATGAAAAGCAGGGGTGTCACTAGCACGTTAAGAGACCATACAATAAGTGTCAGGGGCCCGAGACTGTTCAACTGCCTCCCAGCACACATAAGGGGGATTACCAACAGACCCCTGGCAGTCTTCAAGCTGGCACTGGACAAGCACCTAAAGTCAGTTCCGGATCAGCCGGGCTGTGGCTCGTATGTTGGTTTGCGTGCAGCCAGCAGCAACAGCCTGGTTGATCAGGCTCTGATTCCACAGGAGGCCTGGTCTCAGACCGGGCCGCGGGGGCGTTGACCCCCGGAACTCTCTCCAGGTAAACTCCAGTTAGTCCCTTGCTGCCCTCTGCTGTCCCCCTTTGTTTGCTGACCTGATCTATTGTCTTTATTTATAACCTCATGCTGAATGCCTTTTATACATTTACTGTTTCCAACCTACTGTTGCAACCTGCTTGTTTCCACACACACCCATACCTCTATCTTCCATCAGTTTAAAATCATAGGCATTTCACCAATGGCCTTCTCAATCGAGTCTGCAAGTGCTACCACCCCTGCCCCAGAGAGATGTACCCCATCCCTTGCATACATATCATGTTTGCCATAAAAGTTGTTCCAGTTGTCAATGAATGGGATTGCAAGTTCCTTGCAGTATCTGTCTAGCCAGCAATTTACACCAATTGCCCTAGACAACCATTCATTTCCTACTCCCCTTCTAGGCAAGATGCTACATTGATTGGGATCCCTCCCTTAGACTTAATGAAATCTATAGCTGACCTGTACTTATCTAGCAGCTCTTCTCTCCTACCCTTCCCAATATCATTTCCACCAGCACTGAGACAGATAAGGGCTTGTTCCCATTACCTGACATGATATTATCCAGCCTGTTGACAATGTCCCCAACACCAGCTCCAGGGAAGCACACTCTATCTCTCATCTTCTTATTCCTATTACAAAAAGCACGGTCAATAATCTTACCTGAGAGTCACCAACCACAAGAATGCGCTTACCTCCATTAGCAGGGGCAGTAGTACCCTTACCTTCACTGGCCACTGAAGTACATTCATCCTGAAGAACAGAGAAGCGATTTCCCACCTTCAGATCTTCACTCTTAACTTTCCTTACTCTGATGCGCCTCCCATTACTGTGAACCACTCGCCACTTGTAGCAGGTGCTGGGCTGCACCTCACTGCTGGTAGCCGTTGCTACCTCCCCCACTACAGCCTCCTCACAGCGAGAGACAGACTGCACCTCACTGCTAGAAGCCTCATTCCCCACAACTCCAGCCACCTCACACTCTCTCCCAGACCCATTGAGGTGGACCTTCAGCCTCCTAATCTCCTCCTCGAGAAGCAAGACCTCCTCCTTCAACTCTCCAACCTCAATTTTTAAAACACTGCAGAAGCAAGCCATGCTTTGTAACCGTCCACGCTAATCCCCAAAGCAGCTCAGGGTCTGTGACCTCACATGACGACTGACCACTGACCACTGAAGCAACAGACTCGGCAGATGATGCAACATACCCACAATGAAAAGCAGGGGTGTCACTAGCACAATAGGAAACAATACAATAAGTGTCAGGGGCCCAAGACTGTTCAACTACCTCCCAGCATACATAAGGGGAAACACCAGTAGACCCCTGGTTGTCTTCAAGAAGGCACTGGACAGGCACCTAAAGTCAGTACCTGACCAGCCAGGCTGTGGTTTGTACGTCAAGTTGTGTGTGACCAACAGTAACAGCCTGGTTGATCAGGCCCTGTTCCACCATAAGGCCTGGTCACAGACCGGGCCGCAGGGCCGTTGACCCCCAAAACCCTCTCCAGGTATACTCCAAACATAAATGTAGGTGTCCCGCAGCTCGATCGCTACCGCACTCAGCTCACACACGCAGGTCTGGAGTTTGAATCTCCTCCAGTACGGCTGTAAAACATTAGGGACGTGTTTTCATATGACACCTGCTGTCCATGTTCATCCATCTGTATAAAATGTTCTGCATAACAAGCAGTTTCTGTATAGTAGTACTGTCACTGATGTCAGCCAGGACTGTATACCATGTACATGTACTTGTATCAAATAAAGATATTATTATTATTATTATTATTATTATTATTATTATTATTATTATTAATGTAACCTACTGTTAGGTTTTCAATAATAGGATATTAGGACCCAAATGGAAATAAATCACTTTGTTTGACTTCTTGGGGTTATGCTAGGTAATTTACACACAGGTTAAACTATGTATGATAACTGTACTTACATATACCTGTTTACCTGTACCTAATAAAGTTAATTACTGCCTTCACATGTTAGACTGTGAGCATCAGCAGGTGATGGCGAGGCTCTACAAGGCTTTGGCAAGGCTCTACAAGACTGGCGAGGCTCTACAAGACTCTGGCGAGGCTCTACAAGACTCTGGCGAGGCTCTACAAGACTCTGGCGAGGCTCTACAAGGCTCTGGCGAGGCTCAAGACTGGCGAGGCTCTAAAAGACTCTGCCGAGGCTCTACAATTGTAGACTCTGGCGAAGCTCTACAAGACTCCAGCAATGTATTAAACCCCAGAAACTAAAACACAAACACTTCAAACCTTCTCACTAAAAACACTAAAAATACAACTGCTGGAAATGCTAAAAGAAAAAAAAAAACTTACGCAAAATGATAAATACAAAAATTCTTTTGTCCTTTGTTGGGGGTTTATAGGACCAGAAAAACTTACGCCGTTATGAATCCTGGTTATTGTAAGGTGTACATGAGTTAATTTAATATCTTTATTATTAAGAGGTGTGTGATTTCCCCCGTCTCCTATGTTTATTTTTCCACTATAATCTACCCTGTCCATAATTACTATCACATTTGCTTTGTTTGTTTCTTAAGGTAAAGTCCAGGATCTTTCCTTACCAGAAGATATTAAAGTAACCCAGTCTGTAATTAAGACTGCTCAAAAGCCACTTAATCACCCTAGACTAAATGTTAAATACTCAGTACATACTTACTCACGTATGTACTCCCATATTATAACTGAAACAATCACTTTGAACCTTTTATCCATTGTTGACAGGAATATAATCGAATCATTGTTTTCACAAAATGCATTTTCGAATATAAATATATCTTTGCATTATACAAATTTTGATTCATTTATAATTAATATTCTACTGTACAACTATGTAATAATTACTATCCTACTGTACAACTATGAAATACTCCTTAGTATTAAGTAGACAGTAAGCCAATAATGTTAAGTTGGCCCATAATACCTAGGCATAATAGAGGCTTTCTTTGCATTGCAACCCACTATTGTAAATATAAAATCTCGATGTACTGTTTGCAAAGACAAAATAAATAAATAAATAAATAAATTTGTTATACCTTAACAAATCTTTGAGGACAATTGTGTTGCAGAGGTCTGAGCTGTATTATACTATTATGCATTAATAAATATTAAAATGTACTGCTCCATAACCTGTGTCAATATAAAACAGTCAATAAGAATTAGGATTAGTCTGCCCGATTATTATTATTATAATCAAAGGGGGAGCGCTAAACCCGGAGGATTATACAGCGCCTGGGGGGGGATGTGGAAGGCTGAATTCAGGCTTAATTCGGGGAACTGGAGCACAGATCCAATTCCCTAAATCAAGAGCCCCTCACCAACATCAAGGAACCTTCCTTGAGATAAGATAAGATAAGATTTCCTTCGGATTTTTAACCCCGGAGGGTTAGCCACCCAGGATAACCCAAGAAAGTCAGTGCGTCATCGAGGACTGTCTAACTTATTTCCATTGGGGTCCTTAATCTTGTCCCCCAGGATGCGACCCACACCAGTCGACTAACACCCAGGTACCTATTTGCTGCTAGGTGAACAGGACAATAGGTGTAAGGAAACGTGTCGAAATGTTTTCCACCCGCCGGGAATCGAACCCGGGCCCTCCGTGTGTGAAGCGGGAGCTTTAGCCACCAGGCCACCGGGATTAGTCTGCCCGAAATGCCTTGGCATGCTAGTGGCTTTCTTTGTAATTAATACCTTATATGTAACGCATACATTGTAACCTTTGTAAGGTAATATTTTTTTTCTTTTTTTTCATTTTAATTTTCAAGTAGGCCGTAGTCACCCTCATACCCATGAAGTGGGCGGCAGTCATCCCATAATCATGAAGTGGGCAACAGTCACCCCCATACCCACGAAGTGGGTAGTAGTCACCTCATACCCATGAATTATTATATAATTATTATAATCATGGGGAGCGCGAAACCCTTATTATCAACACACTGAAAAACAAGACAGGAGATTTAAATACCTTACCTCGCAAGTACTATCACCAATCATTGCAACACTCTTTAATAAATCCATCGAATTCTCTACCTTCCCTACAGTTCTCAAAATAGCCAGGGTCACCCCGATTCATAGAGACCACACAGACTTGAATAACTATAGGCCAATATCCAATTTACACCCTCTAAAATCTTCGAAAAATTAATTCATAAGCGAATCTATTCCTACCTCATCTCCCACAACATACTCAACCCCTGTCAGTTTGGGTTCAGGCCTAATAAAAATACGAATGATGCTATTATACACATGCTAGAACAAATATACACTGCACTAGACTGTGTAGCCCTTGTGGCTTAGCGCTTCTTTTTGATTATAATAATAATAACTGCACTAAAAAAAAAAAAGAAGTCCCACTGGGGATCTTCATTGATTTACGTAAAGCTTTTGATACAGTTGACCATGACTTGCTCCATATAAAATTGTCGCACTATGGTATAAGAGGGCACTCCCTCAACTACCTAAAGTCTTACCTCAGCAACAGAAGCCAATATATGCACACAAATGGAGCAAACTCTTCCACACAGCCAATTACAGTTGGTGTCCCACAGGGAAGTGTCCTTGGCCCTATTCTCTTTCTCGTTTACATAAACGACCTACCAAATGCATCGCAACTACTTAAACCCACACTATTTGCAAATGAACAGTACATAAACGTTCTCTCACCCAAGCCCAGTCATGCTAGCCAATACTGTAAATACCGAATTACAGAAAATATCTACCTGGATGATGACTAACAAACTTTCAACATCGACAAAACCTACTTCATTCAGTTTGGTAACAGAGCTACAGATGTCCCTCTTAACATAATGATAAACGGATTACCTATCACAAAGCTCACAGGTAAAATTCTTAGGAATCCACCTTGATAATAGAGTCAAATTTCAAACACACGTACAACAAATTTCCAAGAAAATTTCCAAGACCGTAGGCATACTATTGAAGATACGGTATTATGTTCCACAGTCAGCCCTCCTGGCCCCATATCACTCACTTATTTACCCCTATCTCACCTATGGAATTTGTGCATGGGGCTCAACAACAATAAATCATCTCAGACCACTAATTATCCAACAAAAGGCTGCAGTCAGATTGATAACAAATTCCCACTCCAGGCAACACACCACCAATATTCAAAACTCTAAACTTACTCACAGTACAAAACATCCATACTTATTATTGTGCCTACTACATACATAGAACACTAAACTCGGATATAAACCTTCCCCTCAAACTTCTCCTTACCAACCTCAACAGAACACATGCCATAACACAAGGCACAGATCACTCTTTGAGGTTCCTCGTGTCCATCTCACACTGCAAAAACTCAATGCACATAAAAGGCCCAAAAATCTGGAATTCATTACCTGTGAATATAAAAGAAACACTGTCTGTTTATAAATTAAAGTCTCTTCTTAAAAATCACTTACTCACCCACAACTAAATAAATACTGAATAATTGTATCTCATAAATGTTTAACCTGTGACTCTATCAAACTTTTTTTTTTAATTACATTACCTAACAGAATACTCTAATCTACTGAATGCACAGCAACTAAGCAAATGACCATATGACCTGTCTTTGAAATACTCATTTGTGCTTAATTGTTATTTGTTTACTATAATTTTTACCACTGCATATATCATTGCTTAGTTAATCTTAAGTTAATTTTAAGCCTGCCCATAATGCTCTGCATACAAGGGGCTTTTGGCATGTTACACTTAACCACTGTATTTCTATGTACATCTATGTATCATGTCCAAATTAATAATAAATAAATAAATAAATAAATAAATAAAGTGGGCGATAGTCACCCCCATACCCATGAAGTGGGCCATAGTCATCCCATACCCATGAAGTGGATGGTAGTTGCCCCATACCCATGAAGTGGGTGATAGTCACCCCATACTTGAAGTGGGCAACAGTCATCCCATACCCATGAAGTGGGCAATAGTCACCCCATACTCATGAAGTGGGCAATAGTCAACCCATACTCATGAAGTGGGCAGTAGTCACCCCATACCCATGAAGTGGGCAGTAGTCATCCCATACCCATGAAGTGAGCAGTAGTCACCCCAAACCCAAGAAGTGGGTGGCAGTCGCCCCATACCCCATAAAGTGAACAGTAGTCACCCCATACCCATGAAGTGAACAGTAGTCACCCCATACCCAAGAAGTGGACGGTATGTATTTCTTGGTCCGCGCTGAGCAGTCCTACTAAAGGTTTCAATATAAACTGAAGGCATAGCTGCTCTGCATACACAACTCTCACCAAAAACAATAATAAATTTGTTAAACAAAACAAGGATTATTTTTTGCAGTTGGCCTTTTCTAAAGAGATGAGAACACATCTGAGGAGCGTCAGTGAGAAGTGAGTATTACTGCGAAGACTCATTTTTGTAGCGTCCATGGGTACCTTCCACTAAGATCATCAGTTTACACAAAAGACTGTGGTCGTAAGGCTTGTATCCAGCATGAGTGAAAACAGAAAATAAAAAGTCCATATATTTTCCACTTAGGGAAAGTGCTAACAAATCCTCCTAGTTGAAGGAGCAGTTTTCCTGGATAAAAATATTTATAAAATGTTTGATTACGTATTGGTTCCTTGAATCATCACTGGCTCCCATGGCAATGGTGGTGGGGATTTTTTGTGTGGTGGGGATTACCTTGGAGGGAGGTTCCACACTCTCCTTCTGAGAAGCTTGACATGTTATGAGTTCATCAGAGAGGACATTGGAGTCAATTTCCTTCACCTGCCTTAATATATATTAAAGTAAAATGCAAGCCAGAATGAGGATGAGTGTTAGGATAGCAACACTTTGACTATTAGAGCCATGGTGGCCATGGTAAGTCCCTTCACCACCTAAAATATATTTAAATACATGTGAGAAAAGGAAGGTGTCTTCAGTTCTGTCCAGCTCCTCCAGTTTGAGTCTTAGTGCTTGGTTTTGTCTTCCCCCATCCACCCGTTACTCTGACTGTAGCTGCAACTTAAAGGCTACCCAGTTATCAGTTATCCCTGCCATCCCAAACTTACCTACTGCATCCTCTATGTCAGTGTCTCCCACTTTAACACTAGGTCCTCACAACAATTTTTTCCTTTCTTAATAATACAGTGGACCCCCGCATAACGATCACCTCCCAATGCGACCAATTATGTAAGTGTATTTATGTAAGTGCGTTTGTACGTGTATGTTTGGGGGTCTGAAATGGACTAATCTACTTCACATTATTATTATTATAATCAAAAAGAAGCGCTAAGCCACAAGGGCTATACAGCAATCTACTTCACAATATTCCTTATGGGAACAAATTCGGTCAGTACTGGCACCTGAACATACTTCTGGAATGAAAAAATATCGTTAACCGGGGTCCACTGTAATAATAATAATAATAATAATAATAATAATAATAATAATAATAATAATAATATCTTTATTTACTACAAGTACATGTGCATGATATACAGGCCTAGCTGACATCAATGACACATGTACTACTATATAGAAAGCCTCTTGTTATGCTGAGCATTTTGGGCAAATTAGGTCAGTTTTGTCCCAGAATGCGACCCATACCAGTCAACTAACACTCAGGTACCCATTTTAAACTGATGGGTGAACAGGGACAGCAGGTGTATTATGGAAACACGTCCCTAATATTTTCCATCCGTACCACAGGAGATTTGAACTCCGGACTTTAGTGTGTGAGCTGAGTGAGCTAGTGATCGAGCTATAGGACACCTTGGTTCAAAACGAGCGGTCTTTGCCCTTGCTCTCCTTCTAGCTATGTATGTGTAGTCAGCTAATGTTGATTTAGCAAATTTAATAATTATGTTGTTGTGTTAGGTCCCTTAGGCAATAGCTCAGCTGTTTTGTACATGATCAATGTTTAACGTGTGGCACCTCAACTTACCTACTCCTCAAGTCTCACCCCTACATACCCAAACATACATGTACCCTCACCACAATCATTCCACATAGCATGCAAAGCACCTAATGCCTTCACCATAACAATGAGAGGGAGGAGAGCATGTGTAAATTATTGTATCACTATTGATGAGAGTAAATGAAAATGCATGGATAAGAAATGGGAATGAAGGGATAAAGAGGGAAGAGGGAGGGGGGCTTATCTGAGTGGTATACCTTGTTTTTATTTTCATTATTAAAAATAAATAGAGTATAGAATAATGTACATATTATGGTTCCATTATGCAACTTTGATTATGTAGGTACTTTTGTGGAAATTGGTTCTAAGTTCCAAGCACTTGAGTTATGAATGATTTCCCTGAGGGCAGCTCATTTATAAATGGGAGTTCTTGTGCACTAGAATAAGGTCACTTCAAAAGTATTTGCACTAGCAGTGAAAGGCCTGAGAGATATTTAGAACAGTTTTTGCCCAGAATTCTTGTGATGCATGTGCCTGTTAGATTTTGATGAATTTCTTCCACATATCTTTAATGATGAGATCCAGGGTAAAAGCTCAGTACTTTCAGTATTCTTCAGTCCCAATGATCATGGCTTGCTTCATCTCTTAATATTTGTACATTGGTACCCTGAGTTTCATATAGCTCCCAGCTCAAACAATTATACAAGTGTATTATTGTAAGTGCTTTTTAAGTGTATTTTTGGGAGTCTGAAACAGACTAATCTAATTTACATTATTCCTTATGGAAACAAATTCATTCGGTAATGGCACTCAAACAGCCTTCTGGAACGAATTATGGCCGAAACTCGGGGTACCACTGTATTTCACTATCTACAGGTCAATAACATCACTTTCTTTACAAATCCATAAAGTCCTCACTTAATGCCGTTGATAGGTTCTTTGAAACCAACTTTAAGTGAAACAATGTATAACGAAGCCAGTTTTACCGTAGGCTAATTGATATAACCATCAGGGGTGCACACTGCACCTTTAGCACTCATTGCAACAGTTATATCAAGAAATAAATGTTTGCAAAGCAAAAATTATAAAGAGCACCTACCAAAAACTTTTCTAATTGCTCAATTTATATTTGCATTTTATGCACTGAATTAAAAGCTTAATTTTCGAGTTCAATTTGTTCACCTGCAGTACTATATTTGGTTCAATTTGCGATTAAAAAATTAGAAATCTGACTTCTTCACCTTCAGATGTGATATTACATTTGTATGGGGTGCAACAGTAATCAAACATTTCCTAGGGGTGCGGGGAACAGAAAACATTGGGAACCCCTGCTCAAAGGTGAGCTTCAGTTCCACCAAGAGACCTTGTCTATTAAATGGATTGGTCAGATGGGCCTAAACACTCTAGCTAAGGGGTATGTAGCAATTTTTAATTGACACAATATGACTGGTAAAAGAATCACTCTCATCAGCAGTGAAATGCCTCTGGTCAGTGATTTTCAACCTCAAGGATAATGGAGGTAAACACATTTTCCTTTGTTCTGTAATTAATTTTTAACAAACTATTATAAATATATGGGTGTACCATTCCTTCTTGCTTTTGACATTCTTAATGGTCAGTCCTCTAAACACAGGAAAATTTGTTCCCTATAAAGAGGTTCCTCCCTATACAGTATTAAGGTTCTTTGATGCTGGTAAGGGGCTCTTGATCCAAGGACTTGAGTTTGTCCTTCCTGGGATCAACTAATTATTTCCCATTCCCAGGTTTAGTGCTTTCCCTAAATATAAATGTAACATAGAACATGGATCATCATGGTACTGGCCAAAGCCCTCCACCGTTCAAAATTTTTTTACAAGGAAATTTTTAAATAAAAGTACTGGGAGAGTTACACTTTTATTTTTCATAAAAAAACTCAATATTCCCTTACAAACTTTATAAGATAAATAAGCCATTACACGTCTAACTGAGGCTTAACATAGTTCAAATACAAGAAATGTACAAGAATGAGGTATATACAAGGTCAAGCTTTCATATGCTCAAATTTATACTTGAAAAATATAGAAATTAAAAGCAAAATAAATTTATTATTACAGAGGGAAAAACCAACATTAATAAGACTTCATGGGTAGTTTCAAGACTCAATAATGTGAATCAATAAATGAAATGTAGGCGAGGTTCAGAAGTTAGCGTATAGAGGTGTGTGAGATGAGAAAACAAGGTGGAATGTAAAGGTTTACAATAATTTTAGCAATGCATAAACTCACTTAGGTCACAAGCACTTTGAAAAAGTGGAGATGCAGTTATTAAACAAACATCAATGTATAGTAAGGAAAAATAGGAAAGTCATACAAGAACAAACACACAATGAAATATAAGTACAAATATGAATTTTTTTATTTCTTATACAAGTAACATCATTTCTGAAAATAAAATCTGGATTTGTAACAGCAGACTAGTATGACTAATGACAATATTTTAAAGGGATTTTCTTTTAAGTGATTATAAAGATACAGTACATGATCCAAGAAAAATAAATTAGCAAATCAAGAGACATACTGTTAACAAGGAACAAATATAAAGCCTGAGTACAATTGGTATAAAGATTACGTGACAAATGCTCAGTAAGTGAAATCATCATAAAGATCAGTGCTAAAAAAGTGATGTGAATAAATAGACTGAGAAAATATATACATTATGTATGAGGAGTGTCAACCAAAAATGTTCTGCACTTGAAAATGTCCTGGAGATGCAACCCCAATATACACTGAACAAAGACTAACAAGATACAGGCAAAAATTCTGACATATGTGCATAAATAAGTTTTACCAAAAAGTTCATGCTTATATACCATTAGTTCCAAATGAAAACAACATTAACCAAATAATAAATTTTTATATACTGTACAGTAAATTATGTTCCAAGAACGGGTCATATAAATATACTTTCTTCACACATACAAGATAGAACTATTTGAAATAATATTGAAGAACATTAGGCTAGCACCCACAGTTATTGCAATAATATAAACGTGAAATAAAAAATCACCTATTAAAATATACTAAATTATATATATAAAAAAATCTACCAAAACACTAATAAAAAGATTTGTTTACATATCCATGTACCTTCTTTCATTTTCTCTTTCTTATAGAGAAAAATTCTTGCAATATTAACTGCGAAGACTTATACCATTGTGGTCTCTCATTTTCTTTGGTGTTATGAATTTCTGGCAAGACAGAGTTTTAAAATTTAATAAGAGGACTTTTAGTAACAGTCCAGAAATTTCTACAATCCTTGACTACATATGTATACAAAACAACAATGCTAACTTAAATTTTTTATTAAAAATTTACCATATGTAGCATGGTTACTAAATCTTTCAAATAAATAATACTAATACAATATGTACTAGTAAAGATACAGTCGATCAAAGTTATTCCACATAAATTAATTTTAAGAAAAACAAAAGGTCATTTTCATGCGACATTTCAAACTGGTTGGTCAATATATTTTTTAGAGATGTTGACATGCAGTGATTCGCTTTCTGTTGTCTCACTCCAATGTCAAGCACTGGTTAATCCATGCACACTGCTCCCTTGCTTGAGGACCCACCTTGTTTTATGATTGTCCTAAGAGTAAACCTGCAACTTTGGATTTTGCACTAATGTTGAATTGCAATTCATCAACAAAATGTTTTTATCAAGATTATAATCCTACATTTGTTATGCATGTTGGTGACTGATCAGAAAAAGAATACATCTGTAAAAAAAAATAAAAAATAAAAATAAAGCCAGCTTTTTTTTTTTTAACCTAGCAAAACCCAATGAAAGGTAATTAAGATTTTTTTTCTCCAATGGGAGACAATAACTTGTATATTTACCTAGCCAATGTTGCACTGAAATAACATCATCCCTGCTCAAGTTAGGTTGAGCTTAACTTATTCAAACTTAAAAAACTGGATGTCGAGACAGAAATGAAAGGTTTTACTGACAATTTATCAGTTGATGAGACTAATATCCATACTGCAGCTACAGAACAGTAATGCACTATCTTTTCAACCTTTGCAGTCACCAAATATTAATGACAATGTATTAATCTATACAATGCACAGTAAATAAATTTGGTAAAGTCAATGGAAGGTATTCATGCCACAAGGCAATGGTAGTTTTTTTTATATTTGGGCCATCACAGGTTGCAGCTGTGCTACTCAGGGGCTGCAGGTTTTGCAACCCTGCTACAGTATACACTTTCTCACCATTTCCTCTACTACTTCATCCCTGGGTGATTTTTGAATGTTCTATAATATTTACAATATACATAATATATGTAAGTAAAATTTAGAAGAGGATAAATACACTACAGTGAAGGAAAAGTACACTTGCTAAATATTGTTTAATATGTACTCTTGGTGTTTGTACCAGAATTTAGGTAGTGTGGGAAAGTTTCAGGCCCTGATTGTTTGGAATAAGAATGACTGACTGTAATATCTTTTAAATGCTAAATGGTTTTGAATAAGCCCCATTTCACAGCCAGACTAGCATTTTTAATATACATACACAAAGAGTAACAACTCTTACTGTTTTCATTCAGCTTCTCACTGCCTGTTTCATATGCATTAACTAGTGTAGTACAAACATTTTAGAGCAATATAAGCACTTTATGACAATTTGTTTTTGCAATAGTCACCCAACAATGTGTCATGCTCTCAATCTGAATTTGCCTTTCAAGATATTAAAAATGTTCTTCAACTATACTACCATAGCATGTTGTAGATACCTATCAAACCTTATTGCTTTAATTTACAGAATTTTATTACAAGAAATTTATGTGTGTAAAACAGTCTTTGTAAAAGGACACAACAGTGATATTTTGATGTTAACTTTAGTAATACCTCAAACACTGAAACCAATGATAGACAAAATATACCATACCCCCGGCCGGGATTGAACCCGCAGGTTCAATCCCGGCCGGGGGTATGGTTTGTTTGCAATCGTGTCATTACGATTTCTTGAGTCATAGACAAAATATCCTTACATTTCTTTAGCAAATACAATGTGCAACATTGGTCAAAAGCATTACTGTATAATGCATTTACTGAAACTAACATGGTGATGAATGTGGAAATCACAGGCAAGCATATTATCAAGCTGCATATGAGAGAGAAACACCTTTACTGTCTCAACACTTACAAGATTAGTGTCTGAATTACATAACATTTACACTCAATAAACCAGATTATTTATCTTTATGACTCATGATTCCCTTTTATATTCTGAACATGTATAAAATTAAAGAAAACAAAAGGGTCCCACAACCATTAGGAAATGCTCACGTGCAGAACAGGAATACACCAGGATTCTACGTCTGAAAAAGAGGAGAAATATCTTGGGTGATGATGCAAGAATTTATCCAGACTACATTTAACAAGAATAACTACAGGTAAAGTCACATTTGTAATAAAGTCATAAATTCAAAGGCTAGAAACTGGTTCAATACAAATAAGAAAAATTCTGAAACTTCAGTTATACACAGAATGTTCTGCTACGCACAGCTTGATTACTGCATTCTCAAGAATGATTATGTTTAAGATAAGCTGATTATATTTAAGAAATTGGCATCTATTTATAGCAAATTTCAATCCTTTACACTTCATGAAGTCTATGAATATACTACTGTACTAAGAATGGCTGGGTAAATTACCATGCATACTATTAATAAAATATTATACAATACTTAATTTAAACACTAAATGAAATGATTCATTGCAAAAAAAGAGAACTAATACAGTGTATAGTAATGTGTATATTTCCAGATAATCAGAATCAATGGATGTTTTGTGTGCCAAAGTTGGAATACAGTGAATTACTTAACACATGCAATAGGAAAGTTTTTATAAAAAGAAAGAAGAAAAGAAGATACGATTTTACCCTTTCCCTCAATCCAGATTAACAGGCAGTAATTATCCAGTGAGGTACTATTTTCTTGCCATGTGAGTAAATAATGAAATCCTTTTTAACATTTTGTACTCTTAGTAGGATTGCTAGTCTTTGGTCTCATAAATATTTAAGATGGCAAGTTATACACTATTGTTTATCTCTCTCTGTTTCTTACTACAGTGGCCACTTGATTAACTAATGTATACTTAATCATATGTTGTGCTCAAACACCAGGTAAAAAATATCATTCAGATACTGTACAGTACCAAAAATGAAAAAATACAAAACCATCAACTACTGCACTAGGTCTGAGGATTGAAATGCATGATAAAACAAAAACAAAATAAAAAAAATAATCTTAACATAACACTGCCCAAAATATGTGGATTAAACAAGTATGATGAGCACTCATCTACCATATACCTCCAGGAGTTCTGTACTAACATTAAGGATCATGTAAAAAATATAGAAAAATATTGCCCTCAATTAAAATAACATAACATACTGTATAGTATTAGAAATAAATTATTTGCTATAAAAAATAATCTAAATGCCCAGTGTCTGTACCCTTGCATACAAGTAGTTGAGGCAATCCAAATGGGATGATTGTTTTTTTGGGTGATTTCTCTCCACATTCTCTGTAGAAGACATTAGCAGTATGGATACATAAATAAGTGGCAAAAAATAGCAGAACTGTTCTAACACTGAGCAAAAGAGGCATATTATACATAGTCAGCATAGGTATAATATCATCAGGCTAGCACAAATTTTTGGGGTCAGGCAAAGCATATTAGCTGAAGAAGAAAACTCAAGATCGTTAGATTTTTGGCTATACAAGCCAAAGAAGCTAGAGGGGTGTTTTGGATGGAAAGGACAGAGGTCAACAAAATATTGGAACTTCAGACATTATATAGGTGGTTTATGCTGCACTATTTGGCTAGCATATATGTACATACAAACTGAGAAGCTTAAGGGTGCAACAGAGAAATAAGCTTCAACATTCACCTTCCACCAATTGGCTACCCACCAATCAGGCTGGAATTTGTTAGTAATTTCTCTTCCTTGCATTAACTTATAAAAAATAATTGCAGATATAACAAAATGTAGTCACAACTGCTAAAAAAAAATGTGATAAAGCAACTCTTATTGGTCAAGATTCTGGGATTTGAGAGAGGGAGACAGATGCTTGTGTTTGAATGTTACTACTGTCACTTACTTCAACCCCAATGTACACATGAAACCTAGAAATATTAATCTCCTCCAAATACTAATTAAATAGTTGTACTTTTAGTAAATGTTAATAATAATAATAAAGACTTCCACACACACACATTAATTCTGTCTAACTTGCATTTATTATGATGGCTAAAGTGGTTTAGTGAGGGGGGAGAAATGGTGTGAGCAAGAGAACCCTACCACTCACTACATGTCATCATTGCTGGTGCCCTCACACACCTACCACTCACTACATCTGTCACCACTGCTGGTGCCCCTCACACACCTACCACTACCACTCACTAAATCTGTTACCATCACTACCACCACTGTCATTTCTCTTACACACCCACCACTCACTACATCCACATTTATTTTTCTTGATTTTTGCTTTAGCAGACATATATATTTGTGACATGCTCATCATTTGGCATAGGTTGAGTGGATTCCTATTTGTTAGGTACAATTTAGCAAAGATTTTTTTTATATTGCACTTACTCAAAAGAACTGTTCAATTATTTATTCTATTTTCTCTTAGACTGTTAAAATACACCGACGTCAGATATGAAAATATTCACAATGACACATTTTATTAAAGTTGCAGCATGTGTATTCACACCCCATTTATTGATGAGTTGCCCACCGACATGAGATTGCTAGAAGAATGCAAAACTGGTCATTAAAGCAGGGAATTTCGGAAACTTTTTGGGTGTTATGCACAATTACATTCATTAACCCTTTCACTGTGTGTCACGCAGAACTACATCATTGAGGCCAGGGACCCTCATGTAGTTCTACGTCATGAGCTCAGGTCACTTAGATGAGCTGTGAGCAGTAAATTTTGACCTACATATGAGAGAATGGGTTTGTGCAGTGAGAGCACAGTAAAAAAAAATCCTGCCCCTTGCAGAGCAAGATGACAAAAACAAAACTGTGACCATGTGTATGTTTAAAATAGTGACTGAGGTGTTTTCTCACATGGTTTTTGTTATTACTGGCTGTTTCTTGGTGTCATTTGATAGAACTGAAGACAAACTACTGAAATATAAATGATTTTGATTGGTTTCAGGACTAGAAGTGCTTAAAATTGAGCCCAAATTAGTAGAAATATTAGATTTTTGCCAATATTACAGAGGACAGGTAAGGCCTCTTCTCCTACACCCCCCAGTCTGTCTTATGGGTTTTTAATAGGTCTGATTCAATTATTGGGACACTATAAACCATGATCAAACTTTCCTGGTTATATTTTACCTGAGAAATAGAGTAAATCTTCTATTTTTGTATGAATAAAAATTCAAAATGGAAGGTAACTGTAATATAGAAGAGGGCTGGGGATGTGACTAATAAACAGAGATGGTTGTTGTTTTAATACCTGGAATATCTTCATTGTTTATATGGACTCTTATCTTGTGAGTGTAATTTTTTTAATGATGTACAAATGGCCAATTTACCATCTTCTGTGCACTTTTTTAGGGTAGTTGAAATAATTGTATGGGTGGTTTATGTGCCCAATCGATAGAACAGAAGGCACGCTGGCAAAATAACTAAGAATTTTGTAAAGTGGAATTGGCTTAAAATAGGACTCAAAGTAGGTGAAATTGTCGCTTTGTAAATTACGCAGAGACTAACTTTATGCCTCCATAACTCTGTAACTTTTCCATCAAATTTTGTACTTTTGCTGTCATTACCTTCAGAGAATGATTCTCTACCATTTCAGAAAAAAAAAAAAAAAACATGGACACCGAGAGCAATGTCCTGACAGGGAAACTGAAACGGTTAAGAAGGGATTGTTTGTATACTATAATCAATCAAGTCACCAGATATTAATGACTGAAAAATAAGCTCTGCAGTGTACAATTTTTTAAAGCCAATGGAAAGTATTTACTGTTACAAGTCAGTGGCAGTTGGATTTTTTTTTAACAAAAGGCATAAAGGCCGGAATTGTACTGCAGCTTGTGCACTAATGCACTAGACAAGACAGTACAATAACTAGCAGCAGAAATATGGTCCTTAATTTAACCCTTTCACTGTCCAGATCCCCAATATGAAACTTGTCCACAGTGTCCAAGAAGTGTCAAAATTTTTTTTTTTTTTCTAATGAAATGGTAGAGAATCTTTTTCTGAAGGTAATAAAACAAAAAATTCAAACTTTGATCAAAAAATGGCGAAATTACACTATTGTGAATTTTGCTGTATCAACGATATTTACTCATAGGCGATTTTGCCAACCTTGAGTCCTATTTTATACTTTAGGCTAATTACATTGTTCCAGTCAACCAAGTTCTTAGATATTTCACTAGTGTGTGTTCCATTTTATCGAGTGAGCACAAGAAATCGCCCAATCAACTATATCAACTACCCAATAAAGTGATCAGAATTTGGTAATTTGGCCAATTTCACACAAATTTCAAAATAGGATCCAGAATAAACATTGCAAGCATTCCTGGCACTAAAATAACATTTCCTCTCTTCATTATGTTTCCAGGCTTTACACACAAATTGCACATTAATTTATATTCACACAATGAATTTTTATTCACCCCCCCCTCCAAAAAAAAAAATAGATTTACTACTAAGCAATATTGTAATAATTGTATAAATAATATCAGCGCATTCGTGAACACATATTAGACCCACCAACTGATGTGTACTGGACGTGTGACGTGATTTGTTTACTCTTAAACATTGGCAAAAATAGAACATTTCCGCTACTTTGAGCTCAATTTCAAGCTAATTTCAGACCTATCAAAATTATCTCCATTACTGTAATATATCTTCTATTCCATCAAGAAACTGAGAATGTATTTTTATTAACTCATCGGCCATTTCCCACCTAGGCAGGGTGGCCCGAAAAAGAAAAACTTTCATCATCGTTTACTCCATCACTGTCTTGCCAGTACAGTGCCTGCACTCTGAAGGAGTGCAGGCACTGTACTTACCATCTCCAGGACTCAAGTCCAGCCTGCCAGTTTCCCTGAACCCCTTCATAAATGTTACCTTGCTCACACTCCAACAGCATGTCAAGCCCTAAAAACTATTTGTCTCCATTTGCTCCTATCTAACATGATTACGCATGCTTGCTCGAAGTCCAAGCCCCTTGCACACAAAACCTCCTTTATCCCCTCCCTCCAACCTTACCTAGGCTGACCCCTACCCCGCATTCCTTCCACTACAGATTTATACACTCTAGTGTATAAATCTGTAGTGGAGAGAATGCAGCCATAAAAACCATACAAAAATACACCGCAAAGTTGCTGTTTTAAACGAAAAACACAGTCGCAGTTTTTCTCACTATGCACTGCATGCTGCAATATATATGGTGCACACCACATCGACCCATTCTCTCATACGTAGACCCAAATTTACTGCTCGCAGCTTATCTGAGTGAGCTGAGCTCATAATGTAGTACTACAGCATGACCAGTGAACTCAAAGGCGTAGTACTACAGCACAGTCAGTGAAAGGATTAAGCAATCATTCATGACAATTAACAGTTACTAACTGAAAACCTCTATAAACATTAATGTAAGTCATGTTTGGATTATAAAAGAAACAGACAGAGATGCAATACAAACACAATTCAAAGGTGTTTCCTTTCAATTTACTGAAAAAATGACATTGTAACTGAAACAATTTTAACTATGCCTTGATTTGAGTGACAAATTTAGTAAGAAAGTAAGTGTCTGGGATTTCATAGGAACTTGAACCATGTTAATAATTTGACTGCTTACAGACTAATTGTAACACAGGAGTACAAGAGAACTATACACTCAGGTAGCATCTCCGTTTCATAATTATCTGGCCAAGGATTGGCCTCCATCACTCTGTAACAAATGAGCCCCAGGGTTCAGTACTGTACAAATTATATCAGCAAAAGCCTAATCTAGAATTCTGATATAAATTCATAGATTCCTCATGATTTCTGAGTTTTGCTCCTAAAGAAAGGTGTGGATATAGTGCTGTTTATTTCCAATTTATACAATACATTTGTAGTGATTTATTGAGACATTACTCTGTATAAAAATTAAAACATCAATGCTATTAGAAAAGAAACATTAAAGACAGAGAACCAGTAACAAACCATCACTTATCTGCCATGCTTAATTAGAAATTATGAGATTATTAGGAATAAAACATAACAAATTATATAATAATCTTAATATACTATTCATTAAGATTAGCATCAGCATTTTGAACTAGGGAGACAGAATATATGTTTACCAAACACTGAAAAAGATTCTAAAATTTTACTGAATTCTGATGTATTATTAAGTTTTTTAATTGTTGAAATTAATAAAATATTTTTTTTATAGACTGCAAGCACTTCAGAACAGTACAAGGTTTCCTTCTTGAACATATAATTCTCTCTCAAGATTATTACATAATGTACATAAATACCCCAAGTAACACATACATTTACAAATGCACACATACATGCAAAAAAAAACATACACACACACACACACATTGTACAGTACATATATACACAAAGCAAACACTCACACACATGCATAAAAAAATACATACAGCACTGTCCATAAGCTGCATTACAGATGTTGGTAAGTTTCTTGAAGTTAATCTCAGCTAAGAAAAAATTAAGACTGAAGGAAACAGTTTATGTGAAGAGGATCAAAAGCCTTGTGGTACAGAGATGCTCCATTGAATGTGTGCCAAATTTATTGTTCTTACCGCATTGTCACAGTCTTCACAAAACCATGAATACCCACGACGTTTTGGAGACTTCTTAAGTGGTGGCTCAAGACAATTAAAATGATACGCTTTATTGCACTCATCACACCTGTAAGAAAAGGCAAGAAACCTGTACAGAAGCTAAGTTATAGAGCCCTGCATTATTTTATGAAATAATACTACGAACATTTCATGTGAATATTTAGTCTTAAGTAAAATATTATTGATGATCTTTGCATAAAGCTGAAGTAGGGACAACAAAAATTGGCTCATACTGCATTAGAGTATATACAGTTGGCCCTTGAACAATGTGGGGGTCAGGGGTGCTGATCCCCCATGTAGTCAAAAATCCACATATACCTTTTGACTCCCAAAAATCTTAACTACTAATGGCCTACTGTTGACAAGAAGCCTTACCGATAACAAACAGTTGATTAACATATATTTTGTATATGTATTATATATTGTATTCTTACAATAAAGTAAGCTATAGAAAAGAAAATGTAATTAAGAAAATCATAAGGATGAGAAACTACAGTTACAGTACTGTACTGTATTTATCGATAATGTAAGTTCATGCCTTCTGTTTACAAGATGAGTCGTCTGTCTGTCAGTACAGCAAGGCCCCACTTACATGGTGGGTTAGGTTCCAGGATACTGCCATAAAGCAAATCACACTTTTTTCACTTATAAATGCATATAAATGCTTCATAAGTTAGCAATAGAACTAGATATTAAGAAACAATAAAAAAGTCAGATACACATACAGTACACTCATAACTTACCTTAAAATATTTGTAGTTTTAATGTACGGTGAGAGGTGAGTAGTATTTATTGTAGGAAGTCAGGTGGTAGGTATGGTAGCTCACCCAGCAACCACACCTACACAAAATATAAAACTTCAATTTAAAGCGTCCCAGAGCGATTATTATTACTATTATTATTAATATTACCATCTACATACCTTGTTCACTGAGTTTAATCATGTCTAACAGCTACCCTTAGATGCCATTGTAAATGAGAGAACGAGTAAACAAGAAAGATGCCGAGAATGTGAACAAACAGACAAACGAGTATTAATTTCTTTATGCTTACGGTTCATACACATTCATTTTGCATACGTTTGTGAAACTTTTACCACAATACAGACTTTGGAGAACACACCAGCTAATCCCTCTACAATGAATTTCTTTTGTACTTTTTCCATTCTTTCCTCTTCCAACTCCAACTCTATCTTGTACTATGGGGTGCACAATAAAGTACAAATTTATAGACAAAATATGTAGTCTCGGAGACTGCGAATGCTAGTGTACTGAATATTATGTCATTACAAGGACCCTAATGGAAATAAGTCACTTTGTCTGACTTTTTTGGGATATCCTAGGTAATCTACACATATGCTGTTATGTATGATAATTTATGTAACTGTATTTTATGTGTACCTGTACCTGAATAAACTTACTTAATACCAACCGACTGTAGGTGTCCCATAGTTCAATTGCTAGTGCACTCAGCTCACACACACTGAGGTCTGGGGATCGAATCCCCAGTATAGCTGGAAAACATTAGGATGTGCTTTCATAAGACAGCTGCTGTCCATGTTTACCCATCAGTAAAATGGGTGCCTGGGTGTTAGTCAACTGGTGTGGGTCGCATCCCGGGACAAAACTGATCTAATTTACCGAAAATGCTCTGCATAACAACGGGCTTTCCATATAGTAGCATGTCAGTGATGACAGCTACGCCTGTATACCTTGTAAATGTACTTGTAGAAATAAAGATATTATAATTATTATTATTATTATTACTGCAAAAACGAGTCTGAGATGAGGTGCTTGACGCTGAGATGCCACGCTGCCGTTTCCACAACCAAAGTTCTCACACGGCGTACAACATCGACTGGTCGGAGAGATGCTCTTAAGTCCACATAGTCATTAAACAGGTGGGTCGTTAAGTGAGGAGTGTCTGTATTACCCAAAAAAAAATTTGTGTACAGCAAAATTACCCACTAGACTTGAAAGTCCACAGAATCCGGAAAACACAAGGAGTATTCAAATTCAAAACAGTTAATTGAATCCATCTGTATGGAGAATACAGTCATACAAGCTGAAGAGTATGTATTATACGTGATAAAGCAACATAATTTGCCTTGATTATTAATTTAAACATTTTTGTGCAATTTTATTTACATGTTTTTTGAGCCTTCATTACCCCAGCTGAGATTTTCATGTTTACACCATTTGGGGTAATTTATCTATGCTGGTTCCCCAATCTTTGGTTTAGGTGCATGTATTTGTTTTTATTCTTTTCTTTTTACTGCTTTGGTCTTTTAACACTATTTACAAGGTATACTTATATTACAATTGTTTCAAAAAATGGAAGTAAGTTCCATTGTTTGACTACACTGGGTTATCCTAGGTTAATTATTATATTATATATTTAAGTATTTAGATAAAGGTAGGGAAGTTTTCATTGCAATTATGGAATTAGAAAAGGCATATGATAGAATGGATAGGGGAGCAATGTGGCAGATGTTGCAAGTATATGAAATAGGTAGTAAGTTAGTAAATGCTGTAGAGTTTTTATGAGGACAGTGAGGCTCAGGTAGGGGGCGCAGAAGAGAGGGAGACTACTTCCCGGTAAAGGTAGGTCTTAGAAAGGGATGTGTAATGCCACTATGGTTGTTTAATATATTTACAGATGGGGTTGCAAAAGAAGTAAATGCTAGGGTGTTTGGGAGAGGGATGGGATTAAATTATGGGGAATCAAATCCAAAATGGGAATTGACACAGTTACCTTTTGATGATGATACTGTGCTTATGGGAGATTCTAAATATTATTAGAATCAAAAAGAAGGGAAGATTCTAAAGAAAAGTTGCAAAGGTTAGTGGATGAGTTTGGGAGTGTGTGTAAAGGCAGAAAGTTGAAAGTGAACATAGAAAAGAGTAAGGTGATGAGGGTATCAAATGATTTAGATAAAGAAAAATTGGATATCAAATTGGAGAGAAGGAGTATGGAAGAAGTGAATGTTTTCAGATATTTGGGAGTTGACGTGTCAGCAGATGGATTTATGAAGGATGAAGTTAACCAAAGAATTGATGAAGGAAAAGAGGTGAGTGGTGCATTGAATTATATGTGGAGACAAAAAATGCTATCTATGGAGGCAAAGAAGGAAATGTTGGAGTGTCAGCAGAGTAATATTAAGTGAAGGGATTCAGGGAAACCGGTTATTTTTATATAGCCGGACTTGAGTACTGGAAATGGGAAGTACAATGCCTGCATTTTAAAGGAGGGGTCTGGGATATTGGCAGTTTGAGGGGATATGTTGTATATCTTTATACGTATATGCTTCTAAACTGTTGTATTCTGGGCACCTCTGCAAAAACAGTGATTATGTATGAGTCAGGCAAAAGTGTTGAATGATGATGAAAGTATTTTCTTTTTGGGGATTTTCTTTCTTTCTGGGTCACCCTGCCTCGGTGGGAGACGGCCGACTTGTTGAAAAAAAAAAATATACAGTGGACCCTCAACCAGCGATATTAATCCATTCCTGAGAGCTAATCGTTAGTCAAAATTATCGTTAGTCAAGTTAATTTTCCCCATAAGAAATAATGGAAATCAAATTAATCCGTGCAAGACACCCAAAAGTATTGAAAAAAAAAATTTTTTACCACATGAAATATTAATTTTAATACACACAAACTGAAGATTACATGCACAGTTACATGACACTTACCTTTATTGAAGATCTGGTGATGATTGATGGGATGGGAGGAGGGGAGAGGTGTTAGTGTTTAGAAGGGGAATCCCCCTTCCATTAGCACTTGAGGCAGCAAGTCTTTTTCTGGGGTTACTTCCCTTGTTCTTTTAATGCCACTAGGACCAGCTTCAGAGTCACTGGACTTCTGTCGCACAACATATCTGTCCATAGATACCTGTACCTCTCGTTCCTTTATGACTTTCCTAAAGTGGTTCACAACATTGTCAGTGTACAGGTTGCCAACACGGCTTGCAGTAGCTGTGTCAGTGTGATTTTCATCAAAAAAGGTTTGCACTTCAAGCCACTTTGCACACATTTCCTTTATCTTAGAAGTAGGCAACTTCTTCAATTTCTCTCTCCCCTCCTCCAGAGCAGTTTCCTCAGGTCTGCCCTCTTGCTGTTCAAGATGATCTAGCAGCTCATCAGTGGTTAGTTCTTCACTGTCCTCCACCACCAACTCTTCCACATCCTCCCCACTAACCTCCAACCCCAAGGACTTCCCCAATGCCACAATGGATTCCTCAACTGGCATAGGATTCTCAGGGTTAGCCTCAAACACTTCAAAATCCCTTTAGTCTACACATTCTAGCCACAGTTTTTTCCAAGCAGAGTTCAATGTCCTCTTAGTCACTTCCTCCCAAGCCTTACCTATAATGTTTACACAATTGAGGATGGTAAAATGATCTTTCCAAAACTCTCTTAGAGTCAGTTGAGTTTCTGAGGTCACTACAAAGCACCTTTCAAACATAGCTTTTGCATACAGTTTCTTGAAGTTGGAAATAACCTGCTGGTCCATGGGCTGCAGGAGAGGAGTGGTATTAGGAGGCAAAAACTTCACCTTAATGAAGCTCATGTCCCTAGAAAGTCACTCTGCCAAGTCTGAAGGATGACCAGGAGCACTGTCTAATACCAGGAGGCACTTAAGGTCTAATTTCTTTTCAATTAGGTAATTTTTCACATTGGGGGCAAATGCATGGTGTAACCAGTCATAGAAAAGTCCCTAGTGACCCATGCCTTACTGTTTGCCCTCCACAGCACACACAAATTAGCCTTGAGGACATTGTATTTCCTGAACACTCTGGGAGTTTCAGAGTGATACACCAATAAAGGCTTCACTTTGCAATCACCACTAGCATTGGCACACATCAACAGAGTAAGCCTGTCTTTCATAGGCTTATGTCCTGGGAGTGCCTTTTCCTCCTGAGTAATGTACGTCCTGCTTGGCATTTTCTTCCAAAACAGGCCTGTTTCGTCACAATTAAACACCTGTTCAGGTTTCAGTCCTTCACTGTCTATGTACTCCTTGAATTCCTGCACATATTTTTCAGCCACTTTGTGGTCCGAACTGGCAGCCTCACCATGCCTTATCACACTATGAATGCCACTACGCTTCTTAAATCTCTCAAACCAACCTTTGCTGGCCTTAAATTCACTCACATCACTAGTTGCTGGCATTTTTTTAATTAAATCGTCATGCAACTTCCTAGCCTTTTCACATATGATCGCTTGAGAGATGCTGTCTCCTGCTATCTGTTTCTCGTTTATCTACACCAATAACAGTCTTTCAACATCTTCTATCACTTGCGATCTCAGTTTCGAAAACATAGTTGCACCTTTGGCAAGAACAGCTTCCTTGATTGCCGTTTTCTTGCCCACAATAGTAGCGATGGTTGATTGGGGTTTATTATACAACCTGACCAGCTCAGAGACATGCACTCCACTTTCATACTTAGCAATGATCTCTTTCTTCATTTCCATAGTAATTCTCACCCTTTTTGCTGTAGGGTTGGCACTAGAAGCTTTCTTGGGGCCCATGGTGACTTATTTTGCAGGTGCAATCACTACAAAGGCAGTGATAATATGAAATGTTCCAGTTGTTGTATGTTTGGAAGCGACCGCGGTGGCTGGCTGGCTTGTAAACACTGGCACCCAAGGGACAAGTGAGGTGCGCTCAGGCCAAAGTGGACACGTATGGTACGGAACGAATAGCGCTGGTCGGGTTTTTAAGAGCTAGTTGAGGCAAAATTTTGCAAAATTTTTGCTAGTCTGAATTATCGTTAATCGATGCCATCGCTGGTCGCGGGTCCACTGTATTTAAGTTCTTTTCTGTCTCAACCACACACGAGATACCAGGTATATCTCATTACTTCTACTTACACTTAGGTCTATCTCCATGGGAGGGTGGAAAAAAATTTCTCCTCTGTAAGCCAAGCGTGACATAACAGGCGACTAAAATGCCAGGAGCAAGGGGCTAGTAACCCCTTCTGTATAAATTAATAAATTAAAAAAACTTTTGCTTTTCTTTTTAGGTCCCCCTGCCTCGGTGGGATACGGCCAGTGTGTTGAAAAAAATATACAAGTTCAAGGGAATATCTTGAGTTTTATATACAGTGGATCCCCGGTTAACGATATTTTTTCACTCCAGAAGTATGTTCAGGTGCCAGTACTGACCGAATTTTTTCCCATAAGGAATATTGTGAAGTAGATTAGTCCATTTCAGACCCCCAAACATACACGTACAAATGCACTTACATAAATACACTTACATAATTGGTCGCATTCGGAGGTAATCGTTATGCGGGGGTCCACTGTATATGCAATTTCTGTATCTATAAAACTTGTATGCATATTTACAAGGAAATCTTATATTATAATTTTTCAAGGTGTAATACTCAATGAAACACAGAAATAAGTCACAATGTTTGATTCTATTAGGTTATTTTATGTTAATTTACATGTGCTTTTTTTTTTTGGGGGGGGGGGGGGTTAATTTCACTGTTAGTATCATAATTTTTTTTTTTAATAATCTGGAATGAATAAGGAATCCTCCTGGGAGTTGCACACCTTGTTTGCTGGTAGTGATGCTGTTGGTGGTGAAACAACACCTACTGAGTTCATTTATTACTTATGCTAGTGTGACAGTATTAACCATAATGCACTGCATAGACCCAACCAGGCACAGTTTTTTTCAAAGGCATCAAAAAGTTGCAAGAGACCCAGACAGCTGTAGTGAGGCCTAGCATATTGGCAGGTTGGAGATCTGAAGGCAAGAAAAATTGTGTACCAGTATGTTGGACACACTTATCACCTGCATACTAGTAAGATGGACACAGTTATCACCTGCATACTAGTAAGATGGACGTAGTTATCACCTGCATATTAGTATGATGGACACAGTTAAAGGGTTAAGTGACCATGGCCACAATCATGTAACTATGTGACTGACACTAAAAGGGTTAAGGAAGATACATAAATGTTATCAAGTTATAACATGAAAACTGTAACTAAAGGAAAAAAGAAAACTGGAAACCATATAGCTTTCTGCCTAGGTGGACATAACCAATTAATATAAACATATCTGTAATAACATGCCTTGGATGAAACATGTTTAACACAAAACCTTGTCCTAGGATACAGAATGTAAACCAAATAAAGTAGAACGATCTGTGTGTCAAAGAAACAAAATAATGAAGACAACAAAGATTAACTGTAAAAACAAGAAAGATTAATATTTAACAACTCGAACACTAATATTTTTTGACTCTGCAAAATAGTTTTAAAACTTACGAAACAGTATTTGTAACTCCACCCGTCTCGCCGCACACGTCACATTTACTAAACTGCTGTGGATCACTAGGGTCTGATCTTCTCCGATTACTTGCACCAGGAGAGTGTTGAGTACTTCCACTAGTTGTGTAGGTATTAATATGACTCTGAAAAACAAATACAGGTCCGCCATCACAAATCCGGCAATCAGTTATTCGGTTCCTTCAGTTATTCGGCACTAATTTTGGCTAGCATAATTTCAAATTTCCAGGGTCGCCACACCAACCTGCTGGTACTGTTTGGTGGCGCTACTTACTGCATAAGTCATTCCAATTTCTTTTTCTCCATTTATTGTTTTAACCTGCTTACTTTTAGCCCTAGCCATGGTTCCAATGAATAAAAGAAATGCTTCTCATAATGTAAAGCACCTGCACAGTACATTATCCATTAAAGATAAGGTGGCTTTTAAGCCACTGTCGGTTGTCATGAGCTCAGTATCATGAAGCAGAATATGCTTTATTATTACGCTAATATCAACACTACAGCTTATTTGCCTATCACAATTGATCTAATATGACATAAGAAACAATATTAATAACATAAAACATGTTAAATACTCCAGAATGAACAATATCTGGCATAATACCGAGCAGTTCGACGGAGGTATGAAGAGGATATGGTATACCAGTGAATATAAAAGAAACACTCTGTTTATAAATTCAAGTCTCTTCTCAAAAGTCACTTACTCACCTACAACTAAATAAATACTGAATAACTGTATCTCATAAATGTTTCTCATTATTGTATCTCATAAATGTCTAACCTGTGACCCAATCAAACTTTGTTATTTTTTAATTACATTACCTAACAGAATACTCCACTCTACTGAATGCACAGCAACACAGTAAATGACCATATGACCTGTCTTTGTAATACTCATTTGTGCTAAATTGTTATCTGTTTACAATAATGTTTTTACCACTGAATATATCATTGCTTAGTTAATCTTAAGTTAATTTTAAGCCTGCCCATAATGCTCTGCATACAAGGGGCTTTGACATGTTGCACTTTAATAACTGTATTCCTTTGCACTTCTCTGTATCATGTTCAAATTAATAAATAAATAAATAAAAACAAATACCATTCTCCTATCCATGTCTTGGGGCTTATATTAGAGAAAACGGAGTGCAGCACAGGGCTAACTGTGATATGCACTCGTACTGCACCATAAACCTGAAACCAAAAAATTATTTTCTCTATATAGATTATCACACATAGCAGCATATGTGTAGAGAACCTAGGCTTATTTCTAGTACCTGGCTTGGGTTAGCCATATATGATTTTTGGTAAATATTCGATTCCCAGCCAGGGTAGAAACATTAGGCATGTTTCTTTACACCTGTTGTCTATGTTTACCCATCAGTAAATGGGTACCTGGGTGTTAGCTGACTAGTTTGGGTGTTATCCTGGGACACTGACCTAATTTTCTTGAAATACTCTGCATAACAGCTAGGTCTGTATACCTTGTACATGTACGTGTAGTAAATAAAGATATTATTATTATTATTATTATTATTATTATGAGCGTGTTCGATAGGAGTGAATGGAGACAAATGGTATTTGGGACCTGACGATCTGTTGGAGTGTGAGCAGGGTAATATTTAGTGAAGGGATTCAGGGAAACCGGTTTTTATAGAGCCTGACTTGAGTCCTGGAAATGGGAATTACAATGCCTGCACTCTAAAGGAGGGGTTTTGGGATATTAGCAGTTTGGAGGGATATGTTGTGTATCTTTATACGTATATGCTTCTAAACTGTTGTGTTCTGAGCACCTCTGCAAAAACAGTGATTATGTGTGAGTGATGATGAAAGTATTTTCTTTTTGGGGATTTTCTTTCTTTTTGGGTCACCCTGCCTTGGTGGGAGACGGCCGACTTGTTGAAAAAAAAAAATTATTATTATTATTATATTATTTTCTCAGTTGTTTGTTGGGTTATCTTATTCAAACTTGGGCAATGTATGATGGAAAGATACTTCTTAACGTACACCAAAAATGAAAGAAATCAGACCATAAATAGCGGAGTTCACTTCTAAACCATTAGCGGACACTTAGCGGTATATTTTTGTATGTTTTTTATGGTTATATTCTCGTTTTTTCAGTCTCATTTGATAGAATGAAAGATATATTACAGAAATAGATATGATTTTGATTGCTTTCATGACGAAAAGTACCTTGAAACTGTGCTCACAGTAGCGAAAATGTTCTATTCTTTAGCGAAGCTCAAGAGTAAACAAATGACGTCACCGTTCAATACCTGTCCACCTGCCAGTCCAAATTCCAATACGGCGTCAAGAATGGGTTGACATTATTTATACAGTTATTACAATAATGCAGCAGTCTGCATAACAGTAAATCTTCTATTTTTTGTGAATAAAAATTCCAAATGAAAAGCAAGAGTAATGTAAGAGGGGCCTGTAGCTGTGACTAATGAACATAGAAAATGTTATTTTAGTGCCAGGAATGTCTGCATTGTTTATTCTGGATCCTATTTTGAAATTGGCATCTGTTGAAATTTGTGTGAAATCGGTCAAATTGCCAAATTGCCAATTTCTGACCACTTTTTTGGGTAGTTGAAATAAGTGAATGGGCGGTTTCTTGTACTCAGTTGACAGACTAGAAGTAAATAAGTTTATTCAGGTATACACAAATACAGTTATACAGATTATCATACATAGCAGTGTATGTATAGAGAACCTAGGATAACAAAGAAAAGTGAGACAAAGTGACTTATTTCCAGTACCTGGCTTGGGCTTGCCATATATGATTTTCGGTTTATATTTTTTTTTTCTCGGTTGTTTGTTGGGCTATCTCATTGAAACTTGGGCAATGTATGATGGAAAGATGCTTCTTAACGTACAACAAAAATAAAAAAGACGGACGATAAATAAGGGAGTTCACTTCTCAGCCATTAGCCGCCTCTTTGCAGCATATTTTCGTATGGTTTTTATGGTTGTATTCTTATTTTTTTGGATTCATTTGATAGAATGGAAGATATATTACAGAAATAGACATGATTTTGATTGCTTTCATGACGAAAAGTACCTTGAAATTGAGCTCAAAGTAACGGAAATGTTCGATTTTTGCAGATGTTCAATGAACTGTGTAAGTCAAGTTGGTTAATTTTATTAAGTGTATTCTAAACTAACCACTCAGTAATCCAGCACACTACAGGTCCCAATGATGCCGGATTTGTGATGGAGGACCTGTACTGTATTACCAGAAATAACCTTATACTATATAAGTTGCACACTGAAAAACTGATCATTCTATTTGAATGCACATTTCATTCTTCCAACTCCTTTTCTGACCTCTAATATTCATGTCATGTTGCAAAGATGCCTAGGTGCTTCTACTGTTACAACACTAATTACGAACCACAATGCAAAATAATGTATTAACCCTTTCACTGTCCAAACTGCCAGAATAAAACTTACTCTCAATGTGCAAAAAAAAAGAAATCTTGTGAAATGGTAGAGAACATTTTTCTGAAGGTAATGACACCAAAAGTATGAAATTTGATGGAAAACTCATGTAATCATACAAGTGCAAATTTAGCGGTCTTGACACAATTTACACACTGGTGATTTTGCTGACTTTGAGTCCTATTTTAAGCCAATTTCATTGTTCTGGTCTACCAAATTCTTAGGTATTTTGATAGTACACCTTCCATTCTACTGAGCACAAGAAATTACCCATTCAGCTACAGGTCCACATCCCTTTATCCAAAAATCTGAAATTCGAAAAGTTCCGAAAACCAAAGTTTTTTCGTGGAGTGTGGAACGTCAGTCACTGACAACCAGAGTGGCAGGCTCAGTTGTCTCTCAGCACTTGTAATGTTCACACGTGCGCCTGTTGTTCACTGATATTTTGTTTCTGCTTTTTATTTTGTGACTGTGTTTAATTTCACTGTGAAAATGTCAAAAAGAGTTGCAGATATAATAATTGATGATTTGGCATCATATGAGAGTGGGTGGAGCTAATACGTAGACTTGCGGCCATTCAGGAATGGTCTGGGAACATTAGATTACGTCAGCAGAATTCCAGCTCTCGGGAGGCAGGAGAAAATACATACAATATAACACTAATATCAACTCTATGGCTTATTTATCTATCACAATTGATCTAATTTGACATTACCTCCTTCCTATAATGTGGTCTTTGGCCTTGAGTAAGAGAAAACGGAGTTTTGGAAAGGCTAACTGCACTAGATCACAAGTTTCATAAGGAAAACATTGAAACAAGAGAGACTTTCAAGGAAATTTTTTTTTTTCCCAAGACGGGAGGCCGGCTGGCTTTCCAGGAGATTATCTCGGAAGTAAGTTATTGACTTATTTCATGAAGCCCAGCCTTTATTATTGAAGTATTATTTGGGATTTGTGTGGGAGTAAAGGGCAGATATTTTGCAACATGTCAAAAACTTAGCAACTTCATTTTTTTGTAGAATAAATATAGGATATTTAGGGGGTCTCCCAATGTCCAAAATTCGCATTAGCATTATTTCATGAGTAGCAAGTCCCAAAACAACTTTTTGAAGTGCCATTTAGCCTGGGGACCTTGCCAAATGAAATTTTCAGTAAATATTTTTTCTCGCTTTTTTTTTATTATCATACTGAAACTTACAGAAAATAAGGAGAGTGAACACTTCTTCTTGTACACCAAAAATGAAAGAAATCAGACAAGAGAAGAAAAATGAAGTCCAAATATATGATTATGGTGTGCTGCCCTAGACCCCACCTTCATTCTGAAATTCAAAACACTACTGGCTCCAAGGGTTTTGGATAAAGGGATGTGGACCTGTATTTCAATTACTCTCCAATATGATCAGAATTCAGTTTATTGGCCAATTTCACACAAAATTAAAAGATATCAATTTAAAAATAGAGTCCATAATAGACAATGTAGACATTCCTGGCACCAAAACAACATTTCCTCTGTTCATTGGTTACGTCCCCAGGCCTCTTCTATATTACACTTACCTTACATTCTGAATTATTATTCACACAAAAATAGAAGATTTACTCTTTCTCAAATAATAAAATTTAACCAGGCAAGATTGGTCATGGTTTACAGTATCCCAATTATTGAATCAGACCTATTAAAAACCCATAAAACAGACTGGGGCCATACTCATCCTCTGGAATATCGACAAAAATCAAATATTTCCACTACTTTGAGTACAATTTCAAGCTACTACCAATCAAAATCATCTCTATTTTAGTAATACATGTATATCTTCAGTCTTATCAACTGGTACCAAGATACAGCCAATAAAACCATAAAAACCATCCGAGAAAACACAGCAGTCACTATTTTAAACCATACTCACTGTCAGTTTTGTTTTTCCCATCATGCACCATGTGGCACAGGATTTTTTTTTATATAGTGCACATTTATTGCAAAGACCTAAGCCAAAATTTATCACTCACAGCTTATCTAAATCAGCTCATGATGTAGAAGTACATCAAGGACCCTGGCCTCAATGATGTAGTTCTGTGTGTCAGATAGCAAAAAGGTTAAATGGTGATATTAAACAGTATTTATCTTTTATTTTATAAAATACAAGTTGAACAACAACAGTGGTAGAATAATGGGATGGTTTAGTAGATAGGTAGTAAGAGGTACAATCACTGGAAATATTTTATGAGATTAAACATCAAAGAAGGAACACCACAAGCTTGGCTATGCTCTTACAGCACAAATATATAATCACAATTGCAGAGTAAAGAGGCAAATGCTTAACCTTTCCTGTGTCAGTTCCATTATATTACAGCTTGGAAGCCAGTGTTGGTCCCATAGTACTACGCCACGATCTCAGCTCACTCAGAAAAGCTGTGAGCGGTAAATTCAGGCCTAGATATGAGAGAATGGGTCTATGTGGTAAGTGTGCACCATATAAAAAAAATCCTGCAGCACGTAATGCATAACAAGAAAATGCAACTGTGTTTTTGGTTTAAAACAGCAACTTTGGATGTATTTCTGTATTGTTTTTGTAGTTGTATTCTTGGTCTTATTTGATAAAATGGAAGACATATTACAGAAATATAAATGATTTTGACTGGTCTCAGGATTGAAAGTAGCTTGAAAGTAGCTTCAAAGTAGTGGAAATGTTTGATTTTTGCAAATATTCCAAGTACACAAATGTTCAATACGTGTTCAACTGGTCAGTCTAATACACTTTAGGAATGAAATGACATAATTTATACAATTATTACAATAATGCAGTAGTATGCATAAAGGTAAATCTTCTATTTTTTTGTGAATAAAAATTCAAAATGGAAAGCAAGCATAATATAAGAGGGACCTAGAGACATGACTAATGAACAGAGGAAATGTTTTTCTTGTGCCAGGACTATGCTGTTTATTCTGAATCCTATTTTTAAATTGGCAATTTTTTAGTTTTGTCTGAAATTGGCCAAATTACCGATTTCTGACCACTTTATTGGGTAGTTGAAATAGGTTTCTTGTACTTAACTGATAGAATAGAAGGCATACTAGTGAAATAGCTATGAGTTTGGTCGACTGGAACAATGGAATTGGCCAAAAATAGAGCACAAAGTGGGCGAAACTGCCGTTGCATAAATATCGCCAAGACCTCTAACTTTGTGAGAGTTTGATTCTGTAACTTTTCCATCAAATTTCGTACTTTTGATTTCACTACCTTCAGAAAAAGATTCTTTATCATTTCATGATTTTTTTTTTTTGAAAACTCTGCGATCCCGAGAGCAAGTTTGAGAGCAGGGGTCATGACCCTGAAAGGGTTAACAGAGCACTTAGAACATTATTAGGGCTACTAGAGGTAAGTCTTAGGTGCATAACAGGAGTGAATTATTTCATTTGTTATCCCAATGTTCCACAGCAAAAACAAAATGTTTGATACAAGTCAAACCAAGGAACAAACTATGACAAGAACAAAGGAGTTATTTCCTAATTATAAATTCTATCCGTGGCAATGTCTCTGAGAGCTACAGCCTAAACTGGTTATGACTAATGGCATATATAAAGACTGGTTCCATTGCATCAATAAGCAGGATAGTGAGAATTATGGAGAGGTTGCCATTTATAGAGTAAAAGGGAGAATTCCACAAATACCACAATGTACACAACTACTTTAATTACTACAGTAACTCCTTTAATTACTACAGTAACTCCTTTAATTACTTAACAACTGTTTAAAATAAATATAAAACAGTGACCAAAAAAAAAGTTTTTTAATATGTACTGTACTCTGCAAAGAATTAGATGCTTATTCATCCTCTGTATTAATTTCTGAATTTAAAAGGAAAAACTTCCGTTTTTCTTTTTAGGTCACCTGCCTCGGTGGGATATGGCCGGTGTGTTTAAAAAGAAAATTCATCTTGATAATACAGAAATAACCCACACACAGGAGACTGAGACTTATGACATTTTGGTCCAACTTGTGCCATTAACCCGTAAACGGTCCAAATGTATATAGTATATGTTCACTACCCCAGTGCCCCAAATATTTTGAAAAATAATTTTTTTTTTTAATGAAAATAAAGAGCACATTTTTCTAAATGTTATAGGATAAAAAATTAAAATTAGGGCCAGTTCTTACAGAGATATGAGGCCGAGAAGTTGGCACTGGATGCTCACGTGACAGCAACATGGAGTCCTGCTGCTTGCAGAAGTGTTGCTGATATACCTTTTTTTCTATTTTCATATTATTTTATATAATTTTTATGTTCTGATAATTACAATCTATAGAAGTTCTTGTCATTTTATAACCAATCTTTGTTCTGACACTAGTACAGTGGACCCCCGCTTTACGATCAGCTCCCAATGTGACCAATTATGTAAGTGTATTTATGTAAGTGCATTTGTACGTGTATGTTTGGGGGTCTGAAATGGACTAATCTAATTCACAATATTCTTTATGGGAACAAATTCGTTCAGTAATGGCACCTGAACATACTTCTGGAATGAAATAATATCATAAGCCAGGGGTCCACTGTATTAGGTACTGAAATTGTACTCAAACTGTCACAAAAACACTGACAGGTGGACATTTACACCTGCCTTGGTAATTCACTATTGTCTTGGAATATATACAAAGTATTTATAGATCCCAGCAATGTTTTGGATATGTGGAAGTAGATGATGATGATGATTGATGATGATGATGATGACTGATGATGATTGATGATGATGATTGATGAACCATACCCCCGGCCGGGATTGAACCCGCGGTCATAGAGTCTCAAAACTCCAGCCCGTCGCGTTAGCCACTAGACCAGCTAGCCACAATAAGATTCATCCAACTAGGTATATTTCTACACCATAGGAAAGTTAGCACAGGCACCTCTGTGATTGATGATGATGACTGATGATGACTGATGATGATTGATGATGATGATTGATGATGGCCAGCCAAGGTTATAAGACATTCTGAAAGGGTGTTGCACAAATGTTGCACATGGGTTATTATTGAGATTTTTTGGCCACATCCACCTCAAAGCCACTAAACTTGGGGTCAAAATCACTTTCCTCTTAAAATGGGAGAGTTCATACTGCGCACACTGAGTGTTAGGACCCATTCTATGCTAACAAGGCCTCTCAGGCCAATTGTGCCAAATTTGAAGGCAGGAAAAATAAAATGTATATACACGTTTGGGCACTAGCGGTAAAAACGTATATAAACGTTTGGACCGTTTACGGGTTAACTAGTTAATGGTACATGTCAGACTGAAATGTTGTCATAAGTTTCAGTCTTCTACATGCAGGATATTTCTGCATTGTTCCAGCTACAATATTATGCTCTTATATTCTTTATTCATCTTGATAAATAAAATTAGTAATACTACAAGAAAAGCTCAAAACAATATTAGAGTATCTCACTGTGGGAGCTTGAGAAGTGGTGGAAGCTGAAAGATGTGTGACAGTGGCATGACTTGGGGCTGATGTAGGCACTACTGAGGAAGAGGGTGGTGCCATTGGTTGTGTTAGAGTGTAGCCAGGGGGTAGAGGTGGGTATCCTGCAGGTGGTGTCATTGTCTGATAGTTTGGACGAAGGAGTGAAACATTCACGGTGGCAGTGGAGATGGAAGGAGTAGAAACATGACTTGATGCAGGCGCTGGATTTAATGGTGTTGGAAGAGTCACCAAATTAGGTCCACTCCCATTTTCCTCCATTGGACGTGGTGGAAGAGGTTTGATCTGTTGAATAAGAGGGATATTAGAAAATACAGAAGAGCACCAGAAATCTGAGATGCTTGGAACTAAGCCACAGCCAGATTTGTAATAATTTAAAACACATTATCAGCAGCACAAAGATGACCAGGGAGACGATATAGAAAAAAAACTTTGCAAGCATGTATTATACAAATAGTCATAATGCTAGAAACAAATGGGTTAAGCTAAACTATATGTGCAGGAAATGTCAATATTATTCCAGTAATTGAGACATGGTTTAATTTGAAGTTAGGACATGCCTCTTAATGTAACATTCAAGGGTTTAAACTATTCCTCACTGACAAAAGAAAAAAGGGTGAGTTGGCACTAAATATTAGGCAACACTTGAATCACTGCAAAAATACAGATATAAATGCTGAAGGAACAGACACATGTTATACAATGTATCTAGGGGGAATATATAAAACAAGAAAGGCTGATTATAGGCATCTTATGCTGAAATCATTAAGGTTTGAAGACACAAAAATGTAAGAGACTTAATCACTTTGCTGTCTGTGCTATAGTGCTACAGGTTTGAAGCCTGTGTCAGTGCCACAAAACCATGTGGTGAGCTCAGCTCACTCAGATAAGCAGTCAGCAGTAAAGTTGGGCCTAGATATGAGAGAATGGGTCAATGTAGTAAGTGTGCACCATAGAAAAAGTATCCTGCAGCACGCAATGCATGATTTGAAAAAGAAACTTGATAGTGTTATTGGTTTAAAACAGCGACTTTGCGGTGTATTTTCGGATGGCTTTTATGGTAGTATTCTCAGTTTCTTGGTATCATTTAACAGAGTGGAAGATATATTACAGAAATCGATATGATTTTGATTGGTTTCAGGACGAAAGTAGCTTGAAATTGAACTCAAAGTAGCAGAAATGTTTGATCTTTGCTGATATTCCAGAGTAAACAAATCACATCACTCATTCAATATGCATCTAGCTGGTCAGTCTAATGTGCATTCACAAATGTACTGACATTATTTATAAAATTATTACAATATTACTTAACAGTAAATTTTTTATTTTTGTGGGAATAAAAATTCAAAATGAAATTCATGTGTAAAGCCCAGGTATATAAATAATAAACAAGAGGAAATTTTAGTGCCAGGAATGCCTGCACTGTTTATTCTGGATCCTATTTTGAAATTGGCATATTTTAAAATTTGTGAGAAATTGACCAAATTACCAATTTCTGATCACTGTATTGGGTAGTTGATTGTGCAGTTTTGTGTGTTCAATTGATAAAATGGAAGCCATGCTCGAGAAATAGCTAAGAATTTAGTGACTGTACCTTCAGAAAAAGATCTCTACCATTTCATAAGAAAAAAAATAATTTTTTTTTTTTAAATTCTTGGACCCTGTGGACACTTTTCAGATCAAGGGTCTGGACACTTAATAAGAGAGTTTAATTTAAGCCAAAGTGAATAGAACCCTTTGACTTGAAATTTAAGAGTTCAGCATCTTACTAGAGGGTGTCTAGGATTGTTTAATTTTAAATCAGTCTGTGACAGAAGCAGCTTGAGGCAATAACCTGCCTGACCGGGATATGGTAAATGAAGAGACCCTTGTAAATAATTTAGAAGAGCTTAGTACGTAATCACAAATCTATAAGTTTTAATACATGAAACATGGGAATAAGAAAAAAAAGTAACCGATCCAGATTTTCACTTGGCATAATTACACTGGAGTCAGAGTTCTCTGACTCCAGTGTAATTATGTAGAAAGGGATATGAACAGTGTAATTATGTGTAGAAAACAGAGGACCACAATTTAAATAAGCTTTTTTCTTGTAAGTACAAGTTGATGAATTGGTACCTCACCTCTAACTTCTTGTATGATAATGGTTTCATGGATGACTGGCTGAAACTATGAAATATGTTATATTGAGTAATAAACAAAAGCTACGAAAAGGAAGTACAAAATTAATAGATAAAATTACCAACCTTGATTCTCACAGGTGTGACCATTTCAGATGCCATTTCTCCTAAGCCATGCTTATCACGGTGATGATGTTTCTTCCTCTTTCTCCCACCATCCAACTCTTTATCCTTGTCTTTCTTCTTTTTCTTGCTACCATCACGATGTCTTTTCTCCTTTCGGGGAGAGGTAGGATCATCTTCTGCACTATGGAATGATTCAGAGGTGGGAGAGTGTAAAGAGGCAACAGAAGGAAGAGATTCTACACTTGTATCCAGATGAACACTAGAGCTTATTCTTTTATGAGAGTAAGTTTCTGAATTATCTGAAGCTGCAACAGGAGGATTACCACAACTAGACTCTGCTTCTAAATCTATCAGTATAGGAGGGTGAGGCTGTGTATCAGTGGAATTAACAGGCAGGTCAGTCAAGTTCCTTCGACTGCGGGCAGGAGAGGACAGCTGTGGACGAGGAGGAGTCTCACCAGATTCAGATGGCTGTCGTCGCGGACGAGATGGTGAGGAAGTAACCTGAGGCACTAAAGTTGGAGGGGATGATTCTGCTTGAGCTCGGCGAGTCTTACTCGGAGAGGCAAGCTCGGGGATTTGTGATGTTGATGTTGTGGATGCTGTAGATGACACTGTTACTGCTGCAGATGTAACTGAAATTGTTGATGTTAAGGAAGTTGCTGTGGATGTTGCCATGGTAACTGCTGTAGATGTTGCCATAGAAACTGCCGTAGATGATGCCACAGAAACTGGTGTAGATGTTGCCATAGAAACTGTTGTGGATGTTGTCATAGAACAACCTGTGGATGCAGTTGTTGAAGATGCTGTTGTCACAGATGGCTCTAAAGAAATTTTTTTCCCTCGAGCTGAGCGAGTTTCAAGTGATACAACTTGAAGTATCTCTGGCTCTGTACCTTCAACAGGACCCTTCTTTCCACGGGAAGTGGTAGGAGACATCTTACTTGCAGGACTGGATTCAGCTGACTTATTTCCTGTGACAGAATCTCCCGAAGAATTTTCTCCTTCACCAAGTGATTTTCTTCTTTTATTTGTCACTTTTTTTACATCATTATTTTTTCTCTTTTTTCCTGCCACACCAGAAGAATCTACTGATTCCTCAAGAACCACAGACATTGAAGAAGCTACTCCAGGATGGTAGAGATGAACTGGAGGTTTGTCAGCTTGAGATTGGATCATACTTGAAAGAGGGCAGTTGCTTGCTATACCTCCAATGGTATGAGTTTTTTCTCCACTTTCACTGCACTGTAATGATAAGAAAATTAACTCTTTACTTGTATATTACTCTATGCTATATCCAATTACTGAGAAACTGTGCTCTTCACAAAGTGCTTACTTGCATGCAATGACTATGAATATAATAAACAAACATTGCATGTCTTTCATGGGTCCCTGTAAACAAGGATACAAAAGGCAACCAGTGACTCCATGAGTAATAATAAGTTGTGTCTGAGGACAATATATGGTGTGAGAGAATTTTAGTTTAGAGATTAGAAGGAGATTCAGGGTTACTAAAAGTATTATCCAGAGGGCTGAGGAGGTGTTGTTGAGATGGTTTGGACATTTAGAGAGGATGGAGAAAAAACAGTGTAGGGGATGTCCTAGGACAGAGTGGAGAGAGGGGGTAAAGAAGGATTGTATGGGAGGGGTTGGACATCAAACAGGCTTGTGTGAGCACGTTACACAGGTCTGAGTGGAGGCAAGTGGTTTTTATGACTTGATGTGCTATTGGAGCATGAGAAAGGTAACATTTATGAAGGGATTCAGTGAAACTAGTTAACTAGACTTGAGTCCTGGAGGTTAGAAGTACAGTGCCTGCACTCTGAAGGAGGGTTGGGGATATTGCAGTTTGGAGGGGCATCTGAGCTGTAATGTCAGTATGCCTCTGGCAAAACAAGTGATGAAGCCAGTAATGATGAGTATGCTTCTTCTTTTTCAAGTCACCCTACCTCAGTTACAGACAGCCGGTGTTAAAAAACAACAACAAATAATAATACATAATAATAAATAATAATACATAGGTAGTAGGCTGGTAGTCAGCAACTGCCCAGGGAGGTACTACCGTCCTGCCAAGTGAGTGTAAAATGAAAGCCTGTAATTGTTTTACATGATGGTAGGATTGCTGGCGTAATTTTTTTTGTTTCATAAACATGCAAGATTTCAGGTACGTCTTGCTACTTCTACTTACACTTAGGTCACAGTACACATACATGTACAAGCATATATATACATACCCTTCTGAGTTTTCTTCTATTTTCTTTCTAGTTCTTGTTCTTGTCTATTTCCTCTTGTCTCCATGGGGAAGTGAAACAGAATTCTTCCTCTGTAAGCCATGCATGTTGTAAGAGGCGACTAAAATGCCAGGAGCAAGGGGCTAGTAACCCCTTCTCCTGTATATATTACTAAATGTAAAAGGAGAAACTTTCGTTTTTCCTTTTGGGCCACCCCGCCTTGGTGGGATACAGCCAGTGTGTTGAAAGAAGAAAGAAGTAAAAGGAGAAACTTTCGTTTTTCCTTTTGGGCCACCCCGCCTTGGTGGGATACGGCTGGTGTGTTAAAAGAAAAAAAGAATGCAAGAAAAAGGTACCAAAGGATTGGCAAGGAGCATGCATAGCTCCTTTGTATAAGGAAAAAGAGATCAAGAGAGTGAGTGCAAGAATTATATGGAAATAAGCCTGCTTTTTCTTTGGGTCACCCTGCCTGTTAGGGGTAAGCCAGAAAATAGGAGTGTAGAGGAACAATGAGTTAGGAGGGTAGGGGATGTATAGACCAAGTATTTACATTGAAGCATATAAGTGAACAATGTCTAGATATAAGTAAAAAACTGTTTGTTGCATTTATGAATTTAGAAAAGACACATGATATGGAGGATAGGAAAGCAATGTGGCAGATGTTGCAAATGTATGGAAACAGTAATAAGTTCCTAAAAGCAATAGAAAGTGTTTATGTGAAGAGTGAGGAAAGTATGGGGGGAGGGGGGATTTTCCAGTAAAAGTAGGCCTCAGACAGTGATGTCTTTTTTTTTTTAAACCCTTTGGCCATTTCCCACTGAGTGACCTGACAAAGAGGAAAATACTTTCACTGTCACTCATTCAATCCAAACTGAAACATTCCCACTCCCACTTCAGAGTGCAAGCACTATACTTCCCACCTCTACAACTCAAATCAAGTTAACTGGTTTCCCTGAATCCCTTCATAAGTGTTACCGTGCTCACACTCCAACAGCACATTAATCATAAAAACACTTACCTCCTCTCACTCCTATCTAATATGTTCACACAAACCTCCTGCTGGATGTCCAAGCCACTAGCACTCAAAACCTTTTACCCCCCTCCCTCCATCATTACCTAGGACAACCCCTGCCCCCTCCTTCCCTCCATTCCTTGGTGAAGTGGGTAAGAATTTTCCTTTGTAAGCAAAGTGTGTCATAAACAGCAACTAAAATGCTGGGAACAAGAGGCTAGTAACTACCTCTCCTGTATAAATTACTAAAAGTTCAAAGAGTGAGTCATATTACCAAGAATGTTTAACAAATTTATAGATATAGTTGTTAAAGAAGTGCTAGGATATAGGGGAGAGATGTGGGATTAAATGATAATAAATCTGATATAAAGTGGTAGCTGTCACAGTTGCTCTTTGCCAATGACATGGTTCTTTTGGGGGATTCTGAAGATAAGTTTCAAAGGACGGTCGGTGAATTTGTGGGTATGTAAAAGAAGGAAATTAAAAGTGAACACAGACAAAAAAGCAAGGTGATAAGGGTAACAAAAAAACTAGGTAATGAAAGACTGGATATCAGATTACAGAGAGAATATTGGGAGACTGGAGAGGGTAGTATAGGAAGAGCAAATGTATTTCAATATTTTGGAGTGAATATGGCAGCAATGGGTCTATGAAAGATGAGATAAACAAAGAATAGATGAGTCCAAAAGGTATGTGAGGTGTTGAGGAATCTGTGAAAGGAAAGAAGTTTTTCTAGGAATAAGGGTATAAGGCATGGGCTTTAAACTTTGCGGCAAAGAGGCAGCTGGAGGTAGTGGAAATATCATGTTTAAGAGGAATGCGTTGTATGAATTTTATGCAGAGAAGTCAGTATAAGTTAGAAGATGGTGTGCAGTTACCAAAGAATTCTTCAGAGGGCTGAGAAGAGGTTGTTTGGACATTTAGGAAAATGGAGCATAATGGAATGACCATGAGAATAAATCTGGGATGCAAGAAAGAAGGGGTAAGGGTTGTCCCAAGAAGGGTTGGAGGTAGGGGATAAAGGTTTTAAGTGCTATTTATTGGCTTGAGCATCCAGCAAAACTGTGCAAGCATATTAGGTCAGAGTGGAGACAAGTGGATTCTACAGCTTGATATGCTGGTGGAGTGTAAGTAGGGTAACATTTATGAAGGGATTCAAGAAACATGTTAGCTGAACTTGATTCCCAGTACAGTGCCAACACTCTGAAGGCATTGTGTTGATGTTGCAGTTCAAAGGGTCAGTGGAACTGTCATGTCTGTGCTCATGTCTAAAGCTCCCGCTTCACACACGGAGGGCCCGGGTTCGATTCCCGGCGGGTGGAAACATTCGACACGTTTCCTTACACCTGTTGTCCTGTTCACCTAGCAGCAAATAGGTACCTGGGTGTTAGTCGACTGGTGTGGGTCGCATCCTGGGGGACAAGATTAAGGACCCCAATGGAAATAAGTTAGACAGTCCTCGATGACGCACTGACTTTCTTGGGTTATCCTGGGTGGCTAACCCTCCGGGGTTAAAAGTCCGAACGAAATCTTATCTTATCTTATCTTATCAGTGATGGTGAAAGTCACTATCTTGGTAGATGACTGGTGTGAAAAAACTAATCTTTAAAATTACAGGACTTAAATGCTGTTTACCTGATAAGAAAGAGATATACTACATGTACTCTAGTATCCTACAGACTACAGGATGATCTGCCAGGTTTCTTTCGTGTCCTGAGAAGCATTTTGGTAATACAATAAATATTCATTATGAGTTGCTCAAATGAATCAAACATCAGGGATGTCAAATGTTTTCAAAAGTTCAAAATCATTTTATTTTCCCTGAGGACATCTCAGTTATTTCAAGATGCATGGTTACCATGCAAACCTAACCTAATATAAAATGAAATAAATAAGATTTAAGAAAAAATAGAAAGCATCCAGTAATAAGAATATAAGAAAGAAGGAACACTGCAGCAGGCCTACTGCCCTATGCGAGGCAGGTCCAATTCTCCTACTGGCTAAAGCCAATGCCCTAACCTATTCAGGTCAGGTCACATTTACTTAAGGAAGGAGCACAGCATCTGACCTAGTAGCACAAGCTAGTCAGGTCCAACTCGCACCCACCCACACCCACTTATGTATTATCTAACCTATTTTTAAAACTACACAACGTCTTAGCTGCTATGACGGTGCTCGGGAGTTTGTTCCGAGCACCGTCATGGAACGTTGAGCACCATGTCTAAAAATCACCACAATAAAATGAGAATGAGTTGGTTTCTAACACTGCAAAATTCAAGACCAAAACCACCTCTAGTATTAGAACCTTTCTTAAGGGCCACAGAACTTATATTAATGATAGCAAAGGAATGAATAAGTTACATTAGACACATGGCAGGATCCATATATAGCTTTAAGAAGAGGTATGATAAAGCTTATGGAGCAGGAAGAGTGACCTAGTAGCAGCCAGTGAAGAGGCAGGGCCAGGAGCTGTGATGCGACCCCTGCACCCATGACTAGTTGAGTACAACTAGGTGAGTACAGACTCACTACTCAGTGAGCTGACACACCAGAAAAAATCATGACTTGTAAACACTGATCCTCTAAAATTCCTTAATCAATTTTTATATAATTTGAATTTATTTTTGTACCTTTGGTTCCGAAGCTATTGAGGGAGAAAATTTTGCAGGCTCTTTAATATTTCTACGCAGTCTGCGGGGTGCTGCTGTATCAACTTCTGGGGCTTTATCAGAGTCTGAAGATTTACAACAATCAGAACACTGCCTGCAATACACAAAAATCATTAACATAAAAAAAGAGAAGCTGGTTGTACATGTATCCACCTCTCACTTACTTTTCAAAACAATAACTTAAGGGGCACATAAGTTTCCCCGTCTTCTAATAACATGTTCATTTTTCCACTATAATCTACCTTGTCCATAATTACTATTGCATTTGCTTTGTCTGTTTTGTAAGGTAAGTCTAGGGTCTTTCCTTAATTCATGGTATAACTTAATAAATGTTTGATGATGATTGTGTTGTAAAGCTCATTGCACACTAAAAGTATACTCATTTGCAGGCTTTCTTTCCTGCTCACATACTGTTATACTGTAAGACTTTTTCATGGAAATCAAGAGTGTATGTTTCTTTACTTCCTCCTGAATCCAGTCATTCAGCATTTTTTTTCAGTTTTACTTAGCTGTAGTGACAAATTTCCCATTTTTTAATGGGTCGCAGTTTGAGTTACTCATCACACAAGTTCTTTTCTTCTCCTCATTGTCTTGAACGAATTGTTGATTCTTGCAGCCTACAGTCCTTGACTACATCAATCACACATGCACCACCTTTAAGCATATGTATTGGAGGAATAATTTCATGATTAAACTTCTTAGCACTAGACTTTCTTTTTGATGACATGATCAATATCCAGACATAACATGGGGCGATAAAAAAAATCAGAAACGGAGTGATAACAAAGGAGAGAGTAATCATATGATACACGTCCAGGAAGCAACTGGTGATAGCGTAGAAGAGGATTTCTGTCCACTTTTCGTATTGTCTATGGCTGTTTACTTTTTCTATTTATGATTATTATAATATTTTAAGAATAGTATATGCACAGTGCTTATCAGTGGCTCAATCAGTCTAGGAGGGTTCTGGAATTGGCCAAAAACTTTATCAAGCCAGAGGTAAAAGGTGCAATCACACAAGCAAGATACTTGAGTTCATTAAACTTAACAGCCTTAACCCTTTCAGGGTCCGTCCCGTAGATCTACGGCTTTATGTTCAGGGTCCAAACCGTAGATCTACGCCATGAGCTCAGCTCACTCTGATAAACTGTGAGTGGTACATTTGGGCCTAGATATGAGAGAATACATCTATGTGGTATGTGTGCACCACATAAAACACATCCTGCAGCACACTGTGTATAATGAGAGAAAAAAAATTAAATCATGATTTTTCGATTAAAACAGCAACTTTGCAGTGTTTTTTCGTATGTTTTTTTATAGTTGTATTTGCGATTTCTTGGTCTCATTTGATAGAATGGAAGACATATTACAGAAATAGAGATGATTTTGATTGGTTTTAGCACTGGAAATGGCTTGAAACTGAGCTCAAAGTAGCAGAAATGTTAAATTTTTGCCGATATTCAAGAGTAAACAAACGACCTCACACGTCTAATACACGTCAGCTGGTGGGTCTAATATACATTCACAAATATGGTGATGATATTTATACAATTATTACAGTATTGCATAACAGTAAATCTTCTATTTTTTGGTGTGAATAAAAATTCATTATGTGAATAAAAAATCAAAATGGAATTTATTTGTAAAGCCTCAAAACATAACTAATGAACAGAGGAAATGTTAGTTTAGTGCCAGGAATGCCTACATTGTTCATTCTGGACCCTATTTTGAAATTGGAATATTTTGAACTTTGTGTTAAATTGGCCAAATTAACAATTTCCGATCACTTTATTTTGTAGTTGAAACAGTTGACTTGGCGATTTCTTGTGCTCAATCGATAGAATAGAAGTAATACTAGTGAAATAGCTAAGAATTTGGTTGATTGGAATAATGTAATTGGCCTAAAATGGGAGTCAAAGTCGGCAAAATCGCCGATTCGTAAATATCGCTGACTCATCAAAATTTGCGAGAGCATAATTTCGTCAATTTTCCACCAAATTTCGTACTTTTTGTTTTATTACCTTCACAAAAAGATTCTCTACAATTTCATAAGAAAAAATAACAAATTTTTTTTTTGAAAATTCTTGGACACTGGTGCGTGACTCCAGATTTGGGCCTTGGACCCTGAAAGGGTTAAATGTTAATAAACAGAGTTTAAATTTAATTCTTGCCCTGACAGGGAATCAATGCAATTCATACAGGTAGTGGTAACCCCAGATGGAAGTGAAAATGCCAGTCTAGCTGCATGATTCAGTATAGACTGAAGTCTTTTTAGCAAGTTGTTAGACAAACCTACAAAATAAAGAACTGCAAAAAGCAATTTGATGGAAAAAATGCATAGATAAGGACCAAGATATTCTGTTTATCAAGATATTACCTGATTGTATAAAGACTATGAATATAAAAATTGCAAGATTTAACAATTTGGTGATGTATCCAACAAATGACATTAAAGAATCCAGGTAGATATCCAGATGTACATAAATGATATACAATACTGACAAGATGAAGAATTAGACACATGTGCAACATCTGGGTAACTTTATTTGTAAATGTTTTGCCAACCAGTGGCTTTATCAATACAATGCAATACAGCAATCCTGCTGTTATTCTTAACCTCTGAAAAAAAACAAATGCTAAGGACATAGCCTCTCTAGTGCGTTCGGTCAGTTCTGGATTCTTTACTAAGCCAAAATCAACTCTCAAAAGTTATTACTCATTCAGGCTCAAGACAACACACAGCCTCTTATTCAACAGTTTAAATATGCTTAATGTAGACAATAGTCACACTCTGAACTGTGCACAGTACAGTATGTCTTCAAGACACTTGATGCAAACATTAACTCAGCATAAATTCTATCTGGAGAGCGAGACAAATTCTTCAATTGCAACCTGTCTCATTGCACTTACTATTGCAACGAATTACCCAAGCTATACTGACTTAAACTGCATTCTAGGTCTAGACACAGGAGGGCCCCACATACACAGCAACCATTTTTCGATGTTCCACATTTTTGTTGGCTTTCAGCTGAGCCATTGTTCATTATGGTCAGTGCTTTTACTGCTTTTCCACCCTTATTGCAATTTTTGTACAACAGTTGTGGCATCATATTTCAAGGTAAGCATTATATGTAATGTGTATTTATTTTACTTCTTTATGTTTTTGTTACACCTAGCTGCATTGAGCACTTAATATCTGATAGCATCAACACATTATCAGGCATTTTAGACGCATTCAATAATGAAAAAACTGCTCTTTTCCACAGCCAACAATTTTCGTTTAGTGTTTGGGGCAGCAAGCCTTAGGAGGCGTACGAAAGGGGCCATTTGTATCAGTAATAAGTCTTATGATTAGTTTACTCAAATTTTTTTTTTTTCAACAAGTCGGCCGTCTCCCACCGAGGCAGGGTGACCCAAAAAAGAAAGAAAATCCCCAAAAAGAAAATACAGTGGACCCCCGCATAACGATTACCTCCGAATGTGACCAATTATGTAAGTGTATTTATGTAAGTGCGTTTGTATGTGTATGTTTGGGGGTCTGAAATAGACTAATCTACTTCACAATATTTCTTATGGGAACAAATTCGGTCAGTACTGGCACCTGAACATACTTCTGGAGTGAAAAAATATTGTTAACCGGGGGTCCACTGTACTTTCATCATCATTCAACACTTTCACCACACTCACACATTATCACTGTTTTTGCAGAGGTGCTCAGAATACAACAGTTTAGAAGCATATACGTATAAAGATACACAACATATCCCTCCAAACTGCCAATATCCCAAACCCCTCCTTTAAAGTGCAGGCATTGTACTTCCCATTTCCAGGACTCAAATCCGACTATTTGAAAATAACCGGTTTCCCTGAATCCCTTCACTAAATATTACCCTGCTCACACTCCAACAGATCGTCAGGTCCCAAGTATCATTCGTCTCCATTCACTCCTATCTAACACGCTCATGCACGCTTGCTGGAAGTCCAAGCCCTCACCCACAAAACCTCCTTTACCCCCCCTCTCCAACCCTTTTGAGGACGACCCCTACCCCTCCTTCCTTCCCCTATAGATTTATATGCTTTCCATGTCATTCTACTTTGATCCATTCTCTCTCAATGACCAAACCACCTCAACAACCCCTCTTCTGCCCTCTGACTAATGCTTTTATTAACTCCACACCTTCTCCTAATTTCCACACTCCGAATTTTCTGCATAATATTTACACCACACATTGCCCTTAGACAGGATATCTCCACTGCCTCCAACAGTCTCCTCGCTGCTGCATTTACCACCCAAGCTTCACATCCACATAAGAGTGTTGGTACTACTATACTTTCATACATTCCCTTCTTTGCCTCCATAGATAACGTTTTTTGACTCCACATTTACCTCAACGCACCACTCAGATTTTTTCCCTCATCAATTCTATGATTAACCTCATCCTTCATAAATCCATCCACCGACACGTCAACTCCCAAGTATCTGAAAACATTCACTTCTTCCATACTCCTCCTCCCCAATTTGATATCCAATTTTTCTTTATCTAAATCATTTGATACCCTCATCACCTTACTCTTTTCTATGTTCACTTTCAACTTTCTACCTTTACACACATTCCCAAACTCATCCACTAACCTTTGCAATTTTTCTTTAGAATCTCCCATAAGCACAGTATCATCAGCAAAAAGTAACTGTGTCAATTCCCATTTTGAATTTGATTCCCCATAATTTAATCCCACCCCTCTCCCGAACACCCTAGCATTTACTTCTTTTACAACCCCATCTATAAATATATTAAACAACCATGGTGACATTACACATCCCTGTCTAAGACCTACTTTTACCGAGAAGTATTCTCCCTCTCTTTACACACCCTAACCTGAGCCTCACTATCCTCATAAAAACTCTTAACAGCATTTAGTAACTTACCACCTATTCCATATACTTGCAACATCTGCCACATTGCTCCTCTATCCACTCTATCATATGCCTTTTCTAAATTCATAAATGCAATAAAAACTTCCCTACCTTTATCTAAATACTGTTCACATATATGCTTCAATGTAAACACTTGATCTACACATCCCCTACCCACTCTGAAGCCTCCCTGCTCATCTGCAATCCTACATTCTGTCTTACCTCTAATTCTTTCAATTATAACCCTACCGTATACTTTTCCTGGTATACTCAGTAAACTTATTCCTCTATAATTTTTACAATCTCTTTTGTCCCATTTCCCTTTATATAAAGGGAATATACATGCTCTCCGCCAATCCTTAGGTACCTTTCCCTCTTTCATACATTAATTAAACATAAGTACCAACCACTCCAACACTATATCCCCCCCTGCTTTTAACATTTCTGTCATGATCCCATCAGTTCCATTTGCTTTAACCCCTTTCATTCTATGTAATGCCTCACATACCTCCACCACACTTACATTCTGCTCTTCTTCACTCCTAAAAGATGGTATACCTCCCTGGCCAGTGCATGAAATTACCGCCTCCCTTTCTTCCTCAACATTTAAAAGTTCCTCAAAACATTCTCGCCATCTACCTAATACCTCCCTCTCCCCATCTACTAACTCCCCTACTCTGTTTTTAACTGACAAATCCATACTTTCTCTAGGCTTTCTTAACTTATTTAACTCACTCCAAAATTTTTTCTTATTTTCATTAAAATTTCTTGACAGTGCCTCTCCCACTCTATCATCTGCTCTCCTTTTGCACTCTCTCACCACTCTCTTCACCTTTCTTTTACTCTCCATATACTCTGCTCTTCTTATAACACTTCTGCTTTGTAAAAACCTCTCATAAGCTACCTTTTTCTCTTTTATCACACCCTTTACTTCATCATTCCACCAATCACTCCTCTTTCCTCCTGCCCCCACCCTCCTATAACCACAAACTTCTGCCCCATATTCTAATACTGCATTTTTAAAATTATTCCAACCATCTTCAACCCCCCCCCCCCCCCACTACTCATCTTTGCACTAGCCCACCTTTCTGCCAATAGTCGCTTATATCTCACCCGAACTTCCTCCTCCCTTAGTTTATACACTTTCACCTCCCTCTTACTTGTTGTTGCCACCTTCCTCTTTTCCCATCTACCTCTTACTCTAACTGTAGCTACAACTAAATAATGATCCGATATATCAGTTGCCCCTCTATAAACATATACATCCTGGAGCCTACCCATCAACCTTTTATCCACCAATACATAATCTAATAAACTACTTTCATTATGTGCTACATCATACCTTGTATATTTATTTATCCTCTTTTTCATAAAATATGTATTACTTATTACCAAATTTCTTTCTACACATAGCTCAATTAAAGGCTCCCCATTTACATTTACCCCTGGCACCCCAAATTTACCTGCTACTCCCTCCATAACATTTTTACCCACTTTAGCATTGAAATCCCCAACCACCATTACTCTCACACTTGATTCAAAACTCCCCACGCATTCACTCAACATTTCCCAAAATCTCTCTCTCTCCTCTACACTTCTCTCTTCTCCAGGTGCATACACGCTTACTATAACCCACTTTTCACATCCAATCTTTATTTTACTCCACATAATCCTTGAATTAATACATTTGTAGTACCTCTTTTCCTGCCATAGCTTATCCTTCAACATTATTGCTACTCCTTCTTTAGCTCTAACTCTATTTGAAACCCCTGACCTAATCCCATTTATTCCTCTCCATTGAAACTCTCCCACCCTCTTCAGCTTTGTTTCACTTAAAGCCAGGACATCCAGTTTCTTCTCATTCATAATATCCACAATCATCTCTTTCTTATCATTTGCACAACATCCACGCACATTCAGACTTCCCACTTGACAATTTTCTTCTTCTTATTCTTTTTAGTAATCTTTACAGGAAAAGGGGTTACTAGCCCATTGTTCCCGGCATTTTAGTTGACTTTTACAACACGCATGGCTTACGGAGGAAAGATTCTTATTCCACTTCCCCATGGATATAAAAGGAAAAGTAATAAGACCAAGAACTATTAAGATAAAATCAAAGAAAACTCAGATGAGTGTGTATAAATAAATGTGTATATGTATGTGTAGAGTGACCTAAGTGTAAGTAGAAGTAGCAAGACATGCCTGTAATCTTGCATATTTATGAGACAGACAAAAAGACACCAGCAATCCTACCATCATGTAAAATAATTACAGGCTTTCGTTTTACACTCACTTGGCAGGACGGTAGTACCTCCCTGGGTGGTTGTTGTCTACCAACCTACTACCCAAAATGCATTTGTGTAATTAGTGGCTCTCACTCAAGCCTTGTGCTGTATCAAATTACATCTGTATTATACTAAAATTAAACTCAAAAAGGTAATCATTTTGTATGATTAACTACTGTATTTGTACATTTCTTAAGAAATAAATAATTTAAGTTTTAAGAATACCAGAAGCAATGTCATCATCTAAACAAGAAGGGAAAAGATCAGACATACGATCAACAAACATTTATACAGAACATGATTTACCTGTGAGTTATTCAAATACCAAACTTAAATTTAATTCTGAGAATATCCAAAAACGTAATGAACTTAAAATCTCAGAAAATGTGCTCAAATAAAGGTTGGTATAGTCTGCTACTAAACAATGAACAGTTTGACAAAGTTTGACATATTTTTGTTATAAGTTTATTCCGTGGCAGATGTATCACACACTGAAAGAAAACTGGTTTAAAATATAGCCACTAGGGTTTATATTGTCAAACCTCACCAGGAAACTTTTATAACAATATTCAGTTTTAACTTTTCAAGCCAATGTGAAGAGCCACTCTCCGTTACTGGCCACAAACCCTGGGGCCAGGGGTATACAATTATTAAATTAATAATAATAATAATACAATACTTCAACAATAATATCATGAAGTACTACTTGTAATGAAGCATAGTAACAAAATTCTTGCTTTACAATAATAAAAATAAAGAGCTGTCACATAAAATCAAAATCAATAATTTATATTATAAAGATTACATTATTAAAAGCACAAGCAAACATGCATATAATTCTAAACGAATAAGCTTAAAGGATTAACACTAACACATCGAAATTCAAAATCTGTCTCATGTTTCAACTATTGTTTAAACTTCTGTTTATTAAGTTTCTAAAAATTTGCAATAAAAGGTAAAATTTTGTTAGACTAAGTACAACTAAAGTCTTAAGAAAGATTAATGCATTCAAATATCTACATTTAAATAAAAAGATTTTAAAATATCTGAGTAGTAATGAAGATAATTTTATTCCACTGTTACTAAACCATTGCAAATGAAGAAAAATGCAAGATTATGTCTGTATTACATTCAGTTTATTAACAAGTAAAAGTCGTAATAAAGTTCCTACCATCCCATCTGCTTGGTTTTCTTGGGCATGCGTGTGAGAGGTGGGTCCAGACATGACAGATGATAATAATGTCCACAGGTATCACATTCAATCAGCAAATGTTGCTCTTTTGTCAACTGGCAGACACGACATCTATTTATTGTCAAAGAGCTTGCTACAGTCTCTGCAAAATGAAATAGCACATTATCAATTAAATACAGACTGACAGCAAAATATAATTAAGAGAAGTATCCCAGTCTGCCACACCAGTGCGTCCCAGTACAGTATACTCGTGGTAGGAAAATCGTCTTCAATAATTCTTCTCCCTTAAAAATAAAAATTTGAAACTGACACGAGGTGAGTACATACTTGTCAAGTAATAGTGTTGTAAGCTGTCACTGTCACTGCCTATGTTTGTCTAGTCAAACTAACTTTCATTTGCAATATATAAATAATGTAACATGAAACATTCAGGCCCTAAATTATGCAGCAATTTTTATAATAAAAAATCATATAAATTGTTGAAGTTTTCATTGCACAATAAATTTATTATCTAAAGAAGGTATAAGAAAAAAAAAGAGTATACAAAAGAAGAAAATCACTACAATAAAATAATGTAGAGCATATCCGTAATATTAAGACAATACCAAGGACTATGAATATTTGTACAGAATGAAAAGAATTTATTTTCTAACATACTGTCTCATTCCAGAAAATATGGCAAAAACAACTTTCACCATCATTATATAAATACATATGAACATTGAACACACTCATGCAAGCACGCATGTACATACCACACACAAGACACTCACACACAAATACATGGGGTCAGGAGCTGTGACTCAACCCCTGCATCCACAACTGAGCACACACACACACATACATGGGACGTTAAGAAGTATTTCTTCAGTCATAGAGTTGTCAGGAAATGGAACAGTCTGGAAGGTGATGTAGTGGAGGCAGGAACCATACATAGCTTTAAGAAGAGGAATGATAAGGCTCATGAAGCAGGGAGAGAGTGGACCTACTAGCAACCAGTGAAGAGGTGGAGCCAGGAGCTATGACTTGACCCCTGCAACCACAATTAGGTGAGTATGTATGTATGCACACACACACAGTAGTGTGTGTGTGTGTGTGTGTGTGTGTGTGTGTGATAACAACATACAAAATACTGCGTGGAATAGACAAGGTGGACAGAGACAGGATATTCCAGAGAGGGAACACAGAAACAAGGTGTCACAATTGGAAGTTGAAGACCCAGATGAGTCAAAGGGATGTTAGGAAGCATTTCTTCAGTCATAGAGTAGTCAGGAAGTGGAATAGCCTAGCAAGTGAGGTAGTGGAGGCAGGAATCATACATAGCTTTAAGATGAGGTATGATAAAGCTCATGGAGCAGGGAGAGAGGACCTAGTAGCACTCAGTGAAGAGGCAGGGCCAGGAGCTGAGTCTTGACCCCTGCAACCACAATCAGGTGAGTACAATTAGGTGAGTACACACACACATGCAACACACACAACACACACACACACACACACACACACACACACCACCCCACACACACACACACACACACACACACACACACACACTTGTTAGGAAGTATTTCTTCAGCCACAGAGTAGTCAGTAAGTGGAATAGTTTGGGAAGCGATGTAGTGGAGGCAGGCTCCATACATAGCTTTAAGCAGAGGTATGATAAAGCTCACGCTCAGGGAGAGTGACCTAGTAGCGATCAGTGAAGAGGCGGGGGCCAGGAGCTCGGACTCGACCCCCACAACCTCAAACTAGGTGGGGTACATACACCACACAAAAACACACACACACACACACAAAAACCCCACACACACACACACACACACACACAACACACACACACACACAACACCACACACACACACAAAAAAAAGAAAGAAAGGAATCGCCTCTCAAAGTAATTTTCAGGGAGAATCAAACCAACCATGATCCTGCAGGAGGGGAAAGCACGTGAGAGCAAGCAGGAGTTCGAGTGTTGACCGACGAGACAGACACAGGACGAAGGAAGGGCAATGAAAAGGAGAGTTCAGAAACGAAAGGAGAAATGGAGGAAATGAAAAAGGAGCCAGAATAACCGGATCAAATGGAAGGACAAGCGACCCCGAGAAACACCTGCAGAAGGGCTCCAGCCACGACACCCCAAGGCATGACAATCCAAACCAACCATCAACACCAATCCTCTGTTTCCAAACCCCCGCACACAGTTTCAGTATTAGAACAGAAGTTTGAAGGTTTGGTACACAAAATGCAGTGGATTAACGAATAAACATGAGGAATGGCAAAAAGAATCAATGAGAGTCCCAGAACATCATAGCAGTTACAGAAACAAACTCATGGAGACAATAACAGATGCAATCTTCCACAGGATTCCCGATCTGAGGAAAGATAGAAGGGGGCAGGGGGGGAGGTGGGGTTGCTCTGCTCGTAAAAAACAGATGGAAATTCGAGAAAATGGAAGGAATAGATGAGACGGGAGAAAGAGACTACATAGCAGGTACACTTCAGTCGGGGAAACACAAAGTGGTCATTGCAGTGATGTATAATCCACCACAGAACTGCAGGAGGCCAAGAGAGGAATATGAAGAGAGCAACAGAGCAATGGTGGACACACTTGCTGAGGTGGCAAGAAGAGCTCACTCCAGCAGAGCAAAGTTGCTGGTTATGGGGGATTTCAACCACAGGGAGATTGACTGGGAAAACCTGGGAGCCACATGGGGGTCCGAAAACATGGAGAGCCAGGATGTTGGACGTGGTGCTGGAAAACCTCATGCACCAACATGTTAAGGACACTACCAGAGTGAGAGGGGAGGATGAACCAGCAAGATTGGACCTTGTGTTCACCCTGGGCAGCTCAGACATTGAGGACATCAAGTATGAGAGTCCCCTAGGAGCTAGCGACCACGTGGTTCGTGCTTTGAATACATAGTAGAGCTGCAAGTGGAGAGATAACAGGAGTAGAATGGGAAAAACCTGACTATAAAAGAGGGGACTACATAGGGTTGAAGAACTTCCTGCGGGAGGTCCAGTGGGACAGAGAACTGGCAGGAAAGCCAGTAAATGAAATGATGGAATATGTAGCAACAAAATGCAAGGAGGCAGTGGAAAGGTTCATTCCCAAGGGCAACAGTAACAACGGGAAGACCAGAACAAGCCCCTGGTTCACCGACGGTGTAAGGAGGCAAAAACAAAGTGCAATAGAGAATGGAAAAAGTACAGAAGGCAGAGAACACACGAAAATAGGGAGATCAGTCGCAGAGCAGGATGAGTACGCACAGGTAAGGAGGGAGGCCCAGCGACAGTATGAAAATGACATAGCATCGAGAATCAAGACTGACCCGAAACTGTTGTATAGCCACATCAGGAGGAAGACAACAGTCAAGACCAGGTGATCAGATTAAGGACAGAAGGTGGAGAACTCACAAGAAATGATCAGGAGGTATGTGAGGAGCTGAACAGGAGATTTAAGGAAGTTTTTACAGTAGAGACAGGAAGGGCTGTGGGAAGACAGAACAGAAGGGAACATCAAGAGGGGAATATACCAACAAGTGTTGGATGACATACGAACAACTGAGGAGGAGGTGAAGAAGCTCTTAAGTGACCTTGACACCTCAAAGGCGATGGGACCGGACAACATCTCCCCATGGGTCCTTAGAGAAGGAGCAGAGATGCTGTGTGTGCCTCTAACCACAATCTTCAACACATCCCTTGAAACTGGCAACTACATGAGAAATGGAAATCAGCTAATGTAGTCCCCATATTTAAGAAAGGAAAACAGAACGATGCACAAACTAAAGAACCGTGTCACTGAACATGTATCGTGTGCAAAGTCATGAGAAGATTTATCAGGAGGAGAGTGTCGAACACCTGGAAAGGAACAAGAGTTATAAATGAAAACCAGCATGGTTCATGGAAGGCGAAATCTTGTATCACAAACCTCCTGAGTTTTAGACAAGGTAACAGAAGTAAGACACGAGAGAGAGGTGGGTAGATTGGCGTTTTCCTAGACTGCAAGAAGGCCTTTGACAGCAGTTCCCCACAAGAGATTAGTGTCAAAGCTGGAGGATCAGGCACACGTAAAAGGAGGGCACTGCAATGGATAAGGAGAATACCTGACAGGGAGGCAGCAACGAGTCCATGTACGTAAGAGGTATCACAGTGGGCGCCTGTTTACGAGCGGGGTCCCACGAGGGTCTGTTCTAGGACCAGTGCTATTTTGATATATTGAACACATGATGGAAGGGAATAGACTCTGAATGCTCTGTTCGCAGATTACGTGAAGTTGATGAGAAGAATTAATTCGGACTGAGGATGAGGCAGGACTGCAAAGAGACCCTGGGAGGCTGGACATGTGTCCAGTAATCTGCTTCTGAATCAAATCCAGCCAAATGCTAAGTCATAAGATTGGAGGCAAAGAAGACCGCAGACAGAGTATAGGCTAGGTGATAAAGACTACAGACCTCACTCAGGAGAAAGACCTTGGGGTGACCATAATCACCGAGCACATCACCGAGCACAACGACATAAACCAATAACCGCTGCAGCATACGGGCGCCTGCAAACCCTGAGAATAGCGTTCATACTTTAATAATGATTCGTTTCAAGACACGGTACACTGTGTATGTTTTGGGCCATACTGGAGTTGAAGCACCAAGTCCCTGGAACCCACACCTGGTCAGCACGTCAAGAAGTTGAGAAAGTAACAAAGTTGTCAAAAAAGACTAGTCCAAGAGCTCAAGGAAATGATCGTAACGAGGAAAGGTTTAAGGAAATCGGACTGACGACACTGGAGACAGAAGTCAGGGGAGTCAATTACGACATACAAGATACTGCCGGGGATATAGACAAGGTGAAAGAGATAGGATGTTCCTGAGAGGGGACACAGGGACAAGGTCACAACTGGAAGCTGAAGACATCAACGAGTCACAGATGTTTAGGAAGTATTCTTTCAGACATAGAGGTTGTCAGCAAGTGGAATAGCCTAGAAAGTGGAAGTAGTGAGGCTCAGGAAACATACATAGTTGTAAGAAGAGGTAGACAAAGCTCGGGAAAGCAGAGAGAAAGGAGATCCTTTAGCGATCGTGAAGAGGCGGGGCCGGGGGAGTCCGACCCCTGCAACCACATTGGTGATACAATTAGGTAGTAAACACA